AGCCAGGCTTCCCAAATCCAGGGTTCCCTGTAGCATGGGGCCTGCCAGCCATCTGGGGAGCGAACCATCAGACAGAAGATCTCTGTCTGTCTCTATCGCTCTGCCTTTCAAATAAAATGAAAATAAACGAATGAAGAACAAATCCCACTGTTTTCCCAGGTGCATCTGCAGGGAGCTGAATCGGAAGTAGAACAGCCAGGACTTAAATCTGCGCCCAAAGGGAGGCGGCTTACCCCACTGTGCCACAACGCCAGCCCCAAGGGATTATTCCCTGGATTTTATTTTTAAGTATTTATTTATTTATTTATTTGAAAGGCAGCATTACAGAGAAGCAGAGACAGAGAAGTCTTCCATCTGCTGGTTCACTCCCCAAATGGCCGCAATGGCCAGAGCTTGGCTGATCTGAAGCAAGGAGCCAGGAGCTTCTTCCTGGTCTCCCACGCGGGTTCAGGGGCCCAAGGACTTGGGCCATCTTCTACTGCTATCCCAGGCCATGGCAGAGACCTGGAATGGCAAGTGGAGCAGCCGGGACTCGAACCGGCACTCATATAGGATGCCAGCGCCTCTGGCGGAGGCTTAGCCCACTATGCCAAGGCGCTGGCCCCTCCCTGTATTTTAAAGCTCAAAGGGGAGGAGTCACACAGCCTGGCCGAGCTCTGTACCGGTCTGCACTGGATGCTGCTGAGTGCTGAGGTCTGTCTCCAGGCAACGTCCGGGCATCTTCTCACCACCAAACAGGCCACGCCCCGCTGCTTCAGTTCAGCAGGCCCTGATGTGGCCAGGGACGAGAGATGCTGCAAGGGCCTGCGCTTTGGCCAGAGCTGCAGGGCAGCGTTGCACACTGGGCATGTCCCCTGTGCCAGCAGCTGTGCCACGCACCCTGTGTAAGTGACCTCATGCAAACCCCACAACAACGCCGAGGCCCAGCCTGGCTAAAGAGCCCAACATCACTCTGGCAGGACGTGGCAAGGCAGGAATCCAGAATGCACTGCACCTAAAACGCATAAGAAGCCGTGGGAGATAAATGGCTGTGGTCGCCTCATTAGCCATTTGCTTAACAGTGGCCCTGGCCAAGCCTGGGCTGACAGCGGCTCCTTGAGACAAGCAGGCAGTTGGGTGGGTTCGAGTGGTAGCCACGTGCTCCCTTGGTGGATTAGTTAGCTGCCCCTCACTGGAACAAAGCCAGAGAGGAGCTACCGACAAAGGAAGAGGTTCATAGGAGGCTCAAAGTTCAAGACCAGGCAGCCCTCGTGCCTGGCGTCTGCTAAGGGTTGAGGTGGGCGATGGTGGAACGGGTATGGAGGAACCATCGCACAGCAAGCCGGGAAGCAGAGGAGAGAGGAGCAGGCTGCGGCGCGGCTGAAATAAACACTCCCGGGAGACCTACCTTCCCAGCCAGGCCACAGCCCAGTGACCTAAAGACCTCCCACCTGGCCCATCGCCTAGGTGCCATAATTAGATCAAATCTCGACCTGCAATCCATTAACCGTTAGCATGAACCCATTAATCATTAACCTGAGACAAAGACTTCCCGCTTGGCCTACCTCCTAGAGGCCATAATTAGATCAAACATCCACCTTTCATCCATTAACCATTAACAAAACGTTGAGGACCAAGCCCCCACTCTCCAAACCCTAGCAGGTGGCGTGTATGGCTTTGTACCCCGAACACCTGTTATGTGCCAGCTACAGGGCAAGGTGCTGAGGGTGCCCTGCCCTCTGGGGTTTGATCTAATAGAGAGGGTGCTGGGAGGCAGAAAGGAGAGAAACTGACAGAACAGTTCCCCCAGACACTGGTCAGTGCCACAGAGAAAGTGACATCAGAGGGCACAGCACCTGGGGAAATGGGTCGGCAGTTTCTTCAAAAGTTAGCCACGCACCTGTCACACGATCGGCATTTTACTCCCAGGGATTTGCCAATCAGGCGTCCAGGAACTTCCACCACGGCTGGCCGAAGCAGGCAGCGCAGGCGCACACAGCCTGCGTGGCGGTGTCTTTGTGGAAGGGACAAAGATCAAACGGCTGAGACAGGCAGGACACTTTTAAGCTTGAATTCCGGAAGTGTGCTCCATGAAAATACGGCATGGAGGGGCTGGTGCAGCAGGGCAGCAGGTCAGCCCACCTCCTCGGGGAGTGCGGGTTCGAGTCCCAGCTGCTCTGCTTGGGATCCTGTACCTGGGAAAGCAGTGGAGGACGGCCAAGTGCTTGGGACGCTGCCACCCGCGTGGGAGACCAGGATTGAGTTCTGGGCTCCTGGCGTCGGCCTGGCCCAGCCCTGGCTGTTGCAGGCATCTGGGGAGTGAACCAGTAGATGGAAGCGCTCTCTCTCTCTCTTCTCCCTTTTGACACTTTGCCTTTTAAATAAATTAAGATTTTAAAAACAATACATGACCCAGAAGCCTGTGGCATGTGCTCCAGGGGCCGTACGTCCAGAGAGGAGCTTGGGCTCCCGCGAGGACACCTGCATGGTCACTGCCCTTGGTTCCTCTGCGCTTCCCTCCAGCCAGCTGGGGCTTCTTGTGCCCGCCTCCCCCAGCCTCCAGCCCCACCCGGCCTGGATGCATGCAGGGTCCTTGTGTGGGGGCAGGAACAGCCGCAGAGTGGCCTGGGCTTCCTGGGACCCTGCTCTGTCTTCCCTGCCTTGTGATGCTCCATCCTCATCCCAGTCTGTGGGGGCGGAGCCACACAGGCAGTGGAGCTGAATGGTTAGCGTCAGATTCCCAGGTTCCTCACCAAGTAGTGAGGTGACTTTGCAACGGCTGCTGAACTTGCCTGTGCTTCAGTCGCCTCCCCGTGGACGGGGACAAGAGCGCGGCCTACCAGGGGTTGTCGTGACGTGTTCACGCCGTCCACCACAACAGGATGGCTTGCTACGTGTCTGTCCAATGCTACCAGTACTCTGTCCTGCATTCTCTCCTTACAAAGTGGCCACCGTCATCCCACCCAAGTAGGGCACTGCTTCCTCACCTATAGAAGTCACGAACACTCCTGAAACAAATGACAGGCTAACAAGAGAAAAGCATAACAAAGGAGCCTAATCAAAGAGGTTTTTAAAAAAATATTTATTTATTTGAAAGGCAGAGTTAGAGAGAGAGAGTGAGAGAGAGAGAGAGAATCTTCACACATCAGTTTACTCCCCAAATGGCCACAATGGCCAGGCTGGGTCAGGCTGAAGCCAGGAGTTTGAAACTCCATCTGGGTCTCCCACGTGGGTGGCAGGGGCCCAGGGACTTGAGCCATCTTCTATGGCTTTTCTCAGGTGCATAAGTCGGGAGCCAGATCAGAAGCAGAGCAGCCACGGCACTCATACGGAACGCTGGCATCCCAGGTGGCGGCTTCAACTCGGCACCACAACACCAGCCCCCAGCCAAAGTTCTAGGTGACTCTGGAGCCTTCGGAAACAAAGCCCCAAGGGCCCAGGGAAAGTCCATTCTGTGCTTAGGCTCGCTGGGGAACGGACGGCCATGGAGAGCTGTGACTGTTCCAAAGCGTGTGAGCCCATGGCAATGGACTTGGTGTTTGGTGTGTGTGTGTGTGGGGGGGGGACAGCAAGGCCAGTTTGGAGGCTTCTAGAACTCTCTTTGTCCCAAGCCATGGGGCAGGACCCCTCCAGAATGAGTCTTCCGGGGAGAAGGCAGAAAGCGCCCTTTAGTGCTTGCTTTGACTCCTACGACCCGCCTTGGGGAAAAGGAATTCGAGTTACACAACTGCACCTGCAGAGACGGGGGTGGGGGGCAGGAGGGCAGCGGAGGCTTTGCCTCCGATCTTCGGGACTCAGCACGCCACAGCAGCGGACGCTGGGGTGTCCTTCGGAGCCCAACATACACCTGCCGGCTTGGATTCCGATCCACTTCCAGGGCCTTGTATGGATGGGAAATAGATCATAAAAAGAAATTGATAAATAAATATCACAATGCTATAACATCCACCACTGACTGAGGTAATACTCTTTAAAAAAAAAAAAAAAAGGTTTATTTATTTATTTGAAAGTCAGAGAGACCTCCCATCTGCTGGTTCACTCCTCAAATGGCCACAACGGCCAGAGCTGATCCAATCCAAAGCAAGGAGCCAGGAGCTTCCATCCTCCATCCTCCACTGCCTTCCCAGGCCATAGCAGAGAGCTGGATCGGAAGTGGAGCAGTTGGGATTCGAACCAGCGTCCATATGGGATACTGGCACTGCAGGCCACACAGCACCAGCCCCCCTCCGCGTTTAAAAGAAATGCCCTTTTTTTTTGACAGGCAGAGTGGACAGTGAGAGAGAGAGAGAGAGACAGAGAGAAAAGTCTTCCTTTACTGTTGCCCCCCCCCCCCCCAATGCGCCTGGAAAACCACCACCCATCCAGGAAGTCATTTCTTTCTGGAGAGACTCCAGGTCTGGGTATCATCTCTGGTCCCACCCGGGCAGTTCCCACGCGGTTTCTCCCTTCCTGGGGACAAGAACAAGGTAAACCTTCTGGACTGGGTCTCCACCTTGACCGTCTGTGCGTTCCTGTCCTTGCCATGCCTGCACAACCCGAATGTTAGCCAACACGCCGCCAAGGCTGGCAAGCATCCCAGGCCCGCCAGCGCCCCCCGCGCCGCGCTCGGCCGCGGCTGAAAACCCCGCCTGTACTGGGAGTTGAGCCGCGTCTCTCACCCCTGGCCCACGGTCTGGAATAATTTTCCTTGCGGCTTTAACAAGGGTGCGAATTATCTTTTCTTTAACATGAGCTAATTTACTTTTTCTCACAAGGATTCTCCCGGTTCTGCAGGAGCCTGCAGCAGGTCCCATCAGCCGGTCTCCCAGCATCCAAGCCACGCAGGAGGCCACCGCGCCCCCTGCTACAGGAACCCCGAGATCTGGGGTGGGGCCCCACTGCCTGCTGCGCAGCGGCCGCCCGGAGCCCAGAGCGCGTGCGCACAGCCCGACGCCGTCTCCTAGCAACCGGGCGGCGATCACGTGGGCCGCCGGAGCCCGCCTCACGTGGCCCAGAGCCGAGCTGCGATTGGAGGGGCCGCAACGGGCGGGGGCGGGGCCGGGACAGTGGTTCCCCGAGTTCGGATCCCAGGAGGCCCTGCGGCCGCCGCGCAGGTTCCGTCCGCCGGGGTCGTGATGGAGCTGCCTGCCGTGAACCTGAAGGTGGCGACGGGCGGGCGGGGGTGGTGGCGGGGCGTGGTGGCGCGAACGGGAGGGGACACGTCCAGGTGAGAGGGCGGTGGGCGACAGGCCCTGGCAGCGGAGGCCGGCCGGGAAGGCGCGAGGGGCAGCCGCGGGCGGCCGGGCCGGACAGGGCAGGGCCGGGGCTCCCTCCCGGAGTCGGGCCTGCGGGCGCGGGAGGCCCGCCAGCCCCGAAGGAGCGGCCGCCGGGAGAGGGGCTCGGCCTTTGCCCAGGAGCCATCTTTACAAGCTAGACCTGGTTAAGACGCTCAGCTGTGGCCAGACGACCGGGCTTTCCCGACCCTGCAACCCAGCGCCGTCGTGTCGTCATCCAGAAACAGGAACTCCAGTGTCACTTAAAAGCAGAAAATCCCGACTTTGTGATGGGGGGAGGGGGGGGAGTGTCCTGCGGGGCCTCCTGGGGTGCTGGACCCAGATGCAGTCCAGGGCCTGGGGGCTCCAGCTTTGGCACAAACCGGCTGTTTGGGGTCTCGGTGCTGGCTCCTTTGGGACTGTGTCCAGGAATGCCTCTTTACTCATGAGTGACGAAGCATTTAGCACCATAAGGAATGGAAGACAGGGCTGGCGAGGAAGGATCTGTGCGATCCTTTCTGGGCCAGTACCCACGGGCTGTGCCGGGCCTTGTCCTGGGCAGGGTTCCCTTCCTGGTCACACAGGCCTCGGCCGGGGGGCTGGGCTGGGAGGTTTAGCCAGGAAGAAATTCCCAGCAGGGCCCCTGAGATGGGTCGGGGGCGTGCTCAGTCTGCTGCATGCGTCGTGGGGTTAACGCTGGCTGACTTTTCTGCGGTCAGGGATTTGCCTAGAGTGACCGCTGAGAGAGGGTCGGCTGAGGGAAGGAGCTGGGGGCACTGCCAGGGAGGGTTCGTCCTTGGGGTCTGGAGGGAAGGAGCCGCGGGCACTGCCAGGGAGGGTTCCTCCTTGGGGTCTGGGGTTTGCCAGGTTGGTTGTTGAATCACAGCCGCCTGAGGAAGCCAGTGCTGTCCTCAGAGGAGCAGGGGCGGCTCACTCAGCCCGTAAATTGCCGTAAATTGCCGAGGCCCCACGAATGTCAGTTTCCGTCTGGATTCTTTGGGGAGAGAGAGAGACCGTATTCACATAACTTCAGATGCAGCCTATTTTAATAATTGTTCACATTATTGTTGTTAATCTCTTATGGTGCCCAGTTTATAAGCTAAGCTTTGTCCTAGGTGTGTATGTAATTGGGCTGGGTGTTGCGCAGGGGGGTGAGCCACCGCTTGGGACACCCACATCCCGTATTGGAGTGACAGTTTGAGTCCCAGCTGCTCCACTTCCTGTCCAACTTCCGTGCTAATGCACCCTTGCAGACAGTGGCTGATGGCTCAAGAGCTCGGGCCCCTGCCACCCACGTGGCAGGAATTAAGGGGCCCTGGCTGTGTCTCTCATTGCTCTGCCTTTCACGCAGGTGAAAGTAAATAAACATTAAAAAAATAGCATGGATAGGGTTTGCTACTGTTTGTGGTCTCGGGCATCACTGGGGGTCTTGGAACAGATACTGTTTGTGGTCTCGGGCATCGCTGGGGGTTTGGAACAGATACTGTTTGTGGTCTCGGGCATCGCTGGGGGTCTTGGAACAGATACTGTTTGTGGTCTCGGGCATCGCTGGGGGTCTTGGACAGATCCTTGGCTGGTGAGTTGTGACATATTAACAGATTGAGAATTCACGGTGTGTTTCTGTTTGCTACACCTGGACTGCCCTGTGGGGGGCAGCTGTGAACCCCTTGAGGAAGGCACTTCCCCGGATTTCCTGAGGTCAGAGCTGGGTGCCGGCTCCCTGTGGCCTGCCCCCGCCCCACCCCCGCCATGCATGCAGTCCTTGGGCATTGGCTGAGAGCCTGCTGTGTCCTGCTCGGCCGGAGCGGGCATGAGGCCAGGAGAGAAGACGAGCTGCCCCAGGCCTGTTGCACACAGGGCGGTCCCTCACCGAGCCCCATCCGCGCCTCCTGAGGCGTGCGCTGAGCTGGAGGAATGAGGAAGCTTAGAAAGGACTGGGCTTGGGTTCCTGAGTTCTGGTGAGAGGGGGCGGAGCCAGTGGCCCTGACTTCCAACTGTGGCTGTGTGAGCTGCCGGGTACCTCGGGCCGGTCCCTGGCAGGCGCTGTGTGGACGCTGCACGTGCCTGTCCACCCCATGTACCCTGCATCCAGACGACGACACTGGGACAGGTAGCGCTGTCCCTGCTAAGAAGTTAGGCGACTAAGCCAGGGTCGGGTCTACAGCGTGCCTCCACCCCCGCTCCCAGGCACCGTAGCCACTGCCCATCAGCCTCAGCCCCCTGGGATCTCCGTATCTGCTGTAGCGGGTGGCAGGGAGCGTTGCACAGGGCAGGAAGGGACATAGTGCATTGCTCCACCCGCTGCATGGCTGCTGCCCACGGCCTGTCCAGGAAGTCCCCCTCCGCGCCCCTCCTTGGGTCCTCTAGTGGCCAAGAAAGGGATTAAGTCTTGGTCCTCTGCGCCTTGGTTTTCCTTAGCTCCCCCCTCTCCAGGCTACATGGCCACAGCTCCACTGCCCTTCCCCTCCCAGGTCCTGACAGTGCAGCCCAGGGGCAGAGCTCAGGCCTCGGAACAGGCAGGCCGGCATTCGTGGTCAGCCTTGCTACTTCCTGTGTGCCCTTGAATAGGTTCTTAGCCTCTCTGAGTGTCCGTTTCCTCACTGTGAACTCTGCCTTCCGATGGTCCGAGGAGGATCCGTGATTCACGGGCTAGCATAGCGTGGGGTTAAAGGCTCAGACCAGATAGCCCAGTTCTGAGACTGTGTTTGCTCTGTTTATAGCCAACTGCTTCATCTCAAAGCCTCAGCTCTCAGCTGTGCCATTACAGGGATGATGCGGGCCACGTATCCGGGCGGTGCAGACGCCATCACCACAGTTGTTAAATGGAGACACACGGGGACTGTCCAGAGCCTGTTTCACACAGAAAGGGCCCCGGGCCCCTGAACCAGGACCCAGATCTGCTCCCAAGCCAGTGTCCTGTGCCCCCTGCTGCCTTGGCGCGTGGGCCCATCCGGGGAGGAGCTCACAGCTTCACCTGGGCCGAACGCTGGAGCGAGAGTCCAGTGCCCGGGTCCCTGTGCCCAGGCACACTCCCAGCTGGTCTTCCTCAGGCGGGAGGGCTCCCTGTCGACTGGAAGCCACCCCCAGAGCGTGACAGATCATCTGCGAGTCGCGGGCTGGCAGGGAGGGCAGGGCAGCTCTGGCTGTTCCTCCTGGGAGCTTCCCTGGACGTTAGGTCTGTCAGATGGGGAAACTGAGGCAGGGGAGCCTGGGCCTTCTAGAAGCTTTTTTTCCTTGGGGCTTAACTGGTCAAGTGGAGCTGGCTTGCTTAGAGATTTGTGAAACAGAGGTGATGTCACGGAGAGGGGACGTGTGGCAGGATCTGTGGCACTTCCAGGTGCTATGCTCTGCCCAGCCGATGGTGGCCCTTGGCCAAGTGCTCACCTCCGGTATGGGCCCTTCCAGCTCTGGGAGAAGTCCAGCCTCCGTGTACTGATGACCTGTTGTGTGCACAGGCTCTGTGGGGAGGGAGCCAGGGCACTGGGATGAGGCGTGTTCCTGAGCAGGGCAGGACTGGGGAGCGCTCCGTGTTGATTTTCGGGAGGTGGCAGTGATGGAGACACCTCCCCCTGTCTGCTCTGGGTCTCGCTGCCCCCGTGGAGAGGGGCGGTCTCCATGTCCCCTTCCTCGGCCAGTTCTCTCGGTCTAAAAGCTTCAGCTCGGGGCCACCATGTCTGGCCTGTGCCCTTGGCCAGACCCTTCCTAAGAGGGGACATGGCTGGCTCCTTAGATGAAGGCCAGAATCTCGGGCGGGCGTTGTGGCGCCCTGGGTTAAGCCGCTCTTGTCATGCAGCCGCTTACAAGGCCGGAGCGCCGGTGGGAGTCCCTCCGCTCTGCTTCCAATTCAGCTCCCTGCTCATGCGCCTGGGAAAGCAGTGGGAGATGGCCCAAGTGCTTGGGCCCCTGCTCCCACGTGGAAGACCCGGATGAAGCTCCTGGCTCCTGGCTTCAGCCTGGCCCAGCCCCGGCTGTTGTAGCCATTTGGGGAGTGAGCCAGCTTCTCTCTCCTTTCTTTCTGTCTTTCTCTTCCCATCCCACCCTCCCCGTGTGTCACTTTGCTTTCAAATAAACAAACGCATCTTTAAGAAATACAGCAGAATCTTCCCCCTCTCCACCTCCCATCTTCCTGTCTCTCCCGCCTCCACTCTCCACTCGCCTTCCACTCTGGCCACATTGGCTTCATCTCAGTTTCCAGAATGTTCTGTGCTCCTTTCTGTCACACAGGTGCTGTCCCTTCTGCCCAAAATGCCCTTGTCCCCTCTCTGCCCTGGTGGCTTCCTTGGTCTGGGCTTGAAGGTCACCTCCTTGGAGAAGCCTCCCTGACCACCCCCTCTCTCCCCACTTCCCTGCTGGACAAGCAGTTCCTTCCCCTTTGCTGTAACTCTCCTCAGGCAGGGGTCTTCCGGGTCCCACCTTCCCAAGACCCATTACCTGGTGAGCAGGTGTTCCCAGCTAGCGGTCACCACAGGCAGCCATGTCCACACCTTTGGATCCAGACGTGTGCAGGGCGGGTGCAGGGCAGGTGCGGGTGGTGCCGGGTTACTGGGCAGGTGCTTGAGAAACTCAATAGCACCATGTGCTCTCTTCTCAGGAGCTCCTGGGGAAAGAAACCCGTGGAAGACCAAGTCTCTCCTGTCTGTCTCCCGTCTTTTCTGTTTGTTTTCAAAGATTTACTTAGTTGAAAGGTGGAATGACAGGGAGGGAGAGAGAGATCATCAGTCAGCTGGTTCACTGCCCACGTCTAAATGCCTGCAGGAACTGCATCAGGATTTCCACATGGCTGGCTGAAACCAGAGTGTTGCCTCCCAGACACACACATTAGCGGGGGCTGGGACTTGAAGGCACTCGGATACGCAGTGCAGGCGTCCCCGGTGCTCAGCCCACTGAGCCACAGCACCCGCCCCACTTTCCCCATCTTGTCGTGGGGAGAGGCCTAATGGCCAGCTAACACAGCCTTGGGTTTGAATCCTGGCTCTGCCGCTGGCCAGCCGTGGGACTTTGGGCAGATTACTTCTGCGCCTCAGTGTTGTCGGCTGTAAACGGAAACAACACTGTGGTTTGTTTCTGCACAAAAAGGCTTAGGAGGGTCCCAACACGTGGGACCTGCTCGGTGGTAAAGGGGGGAGACGGTGGCAAAGGCTCCTTCCAGAGCCCTCTGTGGTGCAGCCCTAACCCTCAGTTGGGCACATCCGGCCTTAGAGGGTTGTTTTCTAGTCTCTCGCTGGAAGAGGAGTTTCTTCTGGGCCACAGAGCCTGGCCTCTTTGGGTTCCCCCTGGGCCCTGGAGGCGGCGGTGGCGGTGGCGTCTCCCAGCTGTCTGCCCCCGTGGGTGGGGGCCGTCTCCATTTCTCAGCAGCCCAGATAGCTTCCTTCAGCTCAAGGCCTGTGCCTCCAGTGCCAGGGTTGGGAGCACTGGTTTTAGGTCAACCTTGAAGGAGAATTCTAGCTTTGCCACTTGTTTTTGGAATCTAAGCAACTTAATTTACTTCTGAGCCTAGGGTTTTTGTTGGTTTGTTTTTTAAGATTCATTATTGCTTTGAAAGGCAGAGAGAGGAGAGACAGAGATCTCCCACCCACTGGTTCTCTCCCCACACGGCTGCAACAGCCAGGGCTGAGGCAGGCAGGGGCTTCATCGGGGTCTCCCACATGGGGCAGGAGCCCAGGTGCTTGGGCCATCTTCCCCGGGAGCAGTAGAAGGGAACTGGATCTGAAGTGGAGCAGCCGGCCCTCCAGCTGGCGGCCATGGATGATGGCAGCGTCGCAGGCAGCTACTTACCCGCGCACCAGCTTTCTCATCTGTTCATGGGACCAACAACAGGTGCACTGCAGAGGCCACGAGAAGGTCGTGGCGGGTGCTCGGCGCTGGGCCTGGCACAGCATAGGTGTCCAGTGGAGCAGCTCTGCCCGCGGGCTCGCCCCTCCTCTGCTGGAGACTTTTATAGAGTTGCAGTTTAAGCCACCTGCTGCCCCTCGAGGGACAGCAGGTGAGAAGACGGTCGTCCTCTGACGCAGGAGAGGAAGGCGCGCTTCGGGTCCGAGCTGTTCCCTGGTCCGTGTGCGGAGCGCCGGCCGCACCGTGCGGTGGTCCCGGACCTGGGCAGGTGCAGGTTCTCTGTTCACCCTCGCAGCCAGCTGGGAGCGGGCTTCCACGGGCTCTGGCTGGGAGCGCTGTTACCATCTCCCCAGGGAATGGCTTGGAAATGCCGCCAAGGAGGGGGTAGGCGATGGACCAGGGTTTCCTGCTGTCTGTGATGCGGCTTCGGGAAGATGTTCAGCCCACGCCCACCGTGGGGCGCTGACAAAGCAGGTGAGGCTCTTCCACATGAGAGCTGAGCCCTCTGTGTGAGTGCCACGCGACAGAGACCGCCCACCTTAGAGGGGCCGGCGTTGGCAAAGCGGGCAGAGCTGCTGCCTGCAGTGCTGGCATCCCACTGGGGTGCTGGTTCGTGTCCCGGCTGCTGCACTTCTGATCCAGCTCCCTGGTAACGTGCCTGGAGCAGCAGTGGAGGATGGCCCAAGTGCCTGGGCCCCCGCACCCGTGTGGGAGACCTGGAGGAAGCTCCCGGCCCCGGCTGTGCCCAGCCCTGGCTGTTGCGGCCATTTGAGGAGTGAACCAGCAAATGGAAGCTCTCCCTGTCTCTTTCCTAATTCTGTATTTAAAAAAAAAAAAAAAAACACTAAAAGATTTTTTAAGAAAGTTTTTAAAAATTTTTTTTCCAATTAACGTATCCTGATGTATTTGAAAGGCAGAGGGACAGAGACAGAGAGCTCAGAATTCCACTGCCAGCTTTCAGCAGCCGGGAGTCAGGACTTGACACCTGCTGCCACCCAGGGTGTGCGGTAGCGGGAAGCTGTGGGGGGGGGGCAGAGCCAGGACACCACCCCGGCACTGGCTGGGGCCACAGGCGTCCCATGTGGCATCTGAGTGCTGCCCCTGCCAGGTTTTTTTTTTTAAGATTTATTTATTTGAGGGGCCAGTGCTGTGGCACAGCAGGTTAAAGCCCTGGTCTGAACCGCCGGCATCCCATATGGGAGCCAGTTCCAGTCTTGGCTGCTCCTCTTCCTATCCAGCTCTCTGCTATGGCCTGGGATAACAGTGGAGGATGGCCCAAGTCCTTGGGCCCCTGCACCTGTATGGGAGAGCAGGAGGAGGCTCCTGGCTTCAGATTGGCCCAGCTGCAGCCATTGCGGTCATCTTGGGAGTGAACCAGCGGATGGAAGATCTCTCTCTCTCTCTGTCTATGCCTCTCTCTGTAACTCTGCCTTTCAAATAAATAAAATAAATCTTTAAAAAAAAGATTTATTTGAAAGGCAGAGTTACAGAGAGGCAGAGAGAGGGAGAGAGGGAGAGAGAGAGAGAGGTCTTCCATCCACTGGTTCACTCCCCAGATGACTGCACAGCTGGAGCTGGGCTGATCTGAAGCCAGGAGCCAGGAGCTTCTTCCAGGTCTCCCACGTGGGTGCAGGGGCCCAATGACTTGGGCCATTTTACACTGCTTTCCTAGGCTGTGGCAGAGAGCGGGATGGGAAGTGGAGCGGCCGGGACTCGAACCGGTGCCCATATGGGATGCTGGCACTGCAGGTGATGGCTTTACTGCTATGCCACAGCTCCACCCCAGGCCCCCACCCCTGCCACTTCTTGTCTCTCTTCCACTCTTCCCCGGCAGAAGCCTGGGCTCTTTACTGCAGACTTTAGCTCTCGTCTGCCCTTGCCCTCCCTGCCCGGGATGCCCTGGCTTTCAGCATCTTTCCCTCTCAGCCTGAGCCCTGGACCCCCGCCAGGCGCTACTGAAACTTGGGCTTTCTCTCCCCAGTGGCCATGGCCACACCTCCGCCCACTCGGGGCCTTGGGTCCTGGCCCTGCCTTTGCCTGCCCTGCCATTGCGCCTCCAGCACTGGGGCGGAGTCCGGCCGCCCGGAGGCCCTCGCTGATGGAGCTCTTCCCGCCCCCTCGCATCGGCGCCGGCGCCGTGTTCCTCCGCTCGGGGTCCTCTGTTCACCGGAAGCGGCCAGGGCCAGGAAAGGGGCTGTGAATTTAAGGCCACAGAGGGCAGTGAAAGGTAGAATGTTACAGGAGGCCGGAGGAAGAGGCGGGATTTCCGCCGTAGCATCCGTGGTCCCACGGCGCGCCCTCGTCGCCCCTGGCAGGAGGTCCAGGCTCTTGGCCGAGCCTCGGGTCCCTTGCTCTTCCTCTCCAGCCTCAGTGGCCGCTTCCCTCCCTGCCCCCACAGCACCGTAGTTCCAGCAAATTCTAAGGAATTTCTCGTGTTTCAGCCACTGCACTTCCCGTGGAGGCTTCTCCAGCCCCGGAGCAGGTTGCCTGCACGGCCCAGAGGCTCTGCCGGCCCTGGACGAAGGAGGCCTGTGGGTGGCAGCTGCCCGAGGGGGGAGGAGGGAGGTGGCAGTGCCCCTGGCCTGGGCGCTGTTCTCTGTCTTCACCCCTGGCTGTTACTGGCGTGTCTTGGAGACATCAGTGAAACCCTTGGAGGTGCCAGACAGGGGCCGCCTGTGTGATTTTGTTGTTGTTTTAATGTTGAGAGAGAGAGAGATCTAGTGTTCTCTGGTCCACTTCCCAGATGCTTGCAGCAGCCAAGGCTAGGCCAGGCTGTACCCAAGGGCCTAGAGCCCCATCTAGGTCTCATGTGGGTGGCAGGGACCCAAGTACTTGGGCCATCCTCTGCTGCCTTCCAGGATCCACTAGCAGGAAACAGAGCAGCCGGGACTCGAACCAGGGAAGCCGGCGTCCCCAGCAGCGCCCGGTTCAGGAAGCTTTCCTGCCCCAGGGTGGCCTGGTTCACTGATGCCTTCCCCCTTTCTGCCGCAGGTGATTCTCCTGATCCACTGGCTGCTGACAACCTGGTGAGTGGACAGCCTGTGTGTGGCGGCTGTGTCTGCGGCTCCTGGCTCTGTGCCAGCCGGGTCAGGCCCTGGCTCTGCAGTGTGGCAGCCAGGTCGCTTCGGGCAGCCATCTGCCTCTTAGGGCCATGGCAGGAGCCGTGGGGTGGGGGTGGGGGGCGAGCGTGACAGTGCTTATCAGACACGCCCCGGGGTCGCACACTTGACCTGCAGTGCTGCCGTCTGATGATCTGCGGAGTTTCTGGGGAGTCCTGCAGACAGGCGGGAGCCCATGCGTGTGCACCCGTGCTGCGCGTGCCGATAGCTGTGCGTGAAGGGGCGGTGACGGCCGTAGCTCACGGCCGGGGGAGCAGGGTCAGGTGTAGATTTCTCAGTCACAAGTGGAGGTTCTGAGCTGGTGAGACAGGCCCACGCCCCTGCTTTCTTATTTATTTTTGAAAGGCAGAGGGAGAGAGGGAGACAGAGAAGTGAGGTCTTCCATCCACCAGTTCACTCCCTAAATGGCCACCACAGCCAGTGTTGGGCCAGGCCAGTGTGAAGCCAGGAGCTTCTTCTGGGTCTCCCACGTGGGTGCAGGGGCCCAAGAACTTGGACCATCTTCTTCTGCTTTCCCAGGCCATAGCAGAGAGCTGGATTGGAAGTGGAGCAGCCGGGTTTCGAACCCGTGCCCGTATGGGATGCTGGCACTGCAGGCGGCAGCTTAACTCGCTACGCTACGCCAGCGCCATGCTGTGGCTTTAAGCCGCTGGGCCACAGCGCCAGCCCCACCACCTGCTTTCTAAAGCCAAAAGGTGAGATGATTATTCTGAAACATCTGGAACCCACTGAGCTGCTGGGCACCTGTTTGCTACATGCGGCACTTCAGTGAAAGTCATTTAAAGTCAGGAAGCAGAAACCAGTGCTGTGGCGCAGTAGGTTAAGCCTCTGCCTGCATCGCTGACCTCCTCTCTGGTGCCAGTTCGAGTCCTGGCTGCTCCACTTCTCTTCCAGCTCCTTGCTAATGGCCTGGGAAGGCAGTAGAAGATGGCCCAAGTCCTTGGGCCTCTGCACCCATGTGGGAGACCCAGAAGAAGCTCCTGGCTTCAGATCGGCCTGGCTGCAGCAGTTGTGGCCATTTGAGGAATGAACTAGTGGATGGAAGACCTCTCTCTCTCTCTCTCTCTCTGCCTCTCTCTCTCTCTAATTCTTCATTTCAAATAAATTTAAAAATCTTAAAAAAAAAAAAAAAAAGAGGCACCCTGCCGCACAGTGAGGCCGCATCGTGGGCACGGTGAGAGGGCAGGCCAGCCCGGACCGCGCTGCCTGGGTCTTGCACGCAGCCGAGCAGAGGGGCAGGAACACGGCTGTAAGCCGACTCTTCAAGCCCAGCCCTGCCGCTCGGCAGCTGTGCGAGCCCTGGTGAGTTGCTCAGCTTCCCTGTGCCTCCGTTCCCTCATCCCCAAGACGAGGGTAAGAAGAGTGCCCGCCTCCCAGAGCTGTCACTGACGCAGGGCACGGAGGCGGGTGACGCTGACGCACTCGGGACTGTTGTAGACAGCAGCCGGTGCCCTGTGAGCTGGCCGGCTCTCACTGGGTTGACAGCAGTGTGGTGGAGCCACGCCCTGAAAACTGAACCGGGCAGGCACGTGCTGAGAGGCAGCGAGGAGGGTGGGGAGGGGAGGGGTCTCGGAGTTAGCATCTGAGCTGAGACTGACATGACCAGAGGGGCGCGTGCTCAGGGGCCGAGCTGTTTTATTCCCGACAGAAAACCAGTGGAGAATTTTTAGCAGGGCACTGACCTGTCTCATTGCCGATACTGTTGCTATTTCGAGAACAGACTGCAGGGGGCAGGAGTGGGAGCAGGGAGACCAGTGTGGGGTGGCCTTGGCCTTGGCCGTGGCCACTGGCGCTCGGGCGAGGATGGGACCATGTGACCGGATTCAGGATCTAGGGGGCAGGTAGAGACGGTGCCAGCGGCCTCGCAGACTGCACGGCTTCTCAGGAGGCCTGGGACCCTGTGCAGGAGGGAGGGGCTGCGGGAGGGGCGGGCGCCTGCGGGGTGGGGGCCCCCTGACCTGACCGAGGTGCCTCTTCCTGCAGGGGCTGCATCGTGTTCTCAGGATCCTACGCCTGGGCCAACTTCACCGTCCTGGCCTTGGGCGTGTGGGCCGTGGCCCAGCGGGACTCCATTGACGCCATAAGCATGGTGAGCCTGGGCCGAGCCGGGGCCCTGCTGTGTTTCCCTCGCCCAGCCAGTCTGCTCCCTCCGCCTCGGGCCCCATTGTGCACGGGTGCAGCCTCGGAACTGAGCCTCCTGGGCTACCAGCCCGCCTGGCCTTCACTGGCCTGGCCCGCTCTGAGAACGCAGGTCTGCTCTTGCGGGCCCCAGGGAGGACGCGGGCTCCACGTGGCGCCCCAGAGTGCCCGCTGTCCCCAGCAGTTGCTCATGACCCTGGGACCTGCCTCTGGGGCTCTCAGGAGGGATGTGGCTTCGTGACATCAGCGACACAGCTCTGCTGATGGTGTGGGGCTCCCAGCACGTGCTGTGCCGGGAGGTGGTGAGCGCCCAGCAGGAGACTCTTCAGGCTGAGGCCGTGGCCTCTCAGGGTGATCAGGAAGGGAGTTTCTTTGTGGTGGAGACAGATGGGTTGGATTGCAGGGGGCCTCCGATTTGGAGGCTCTGGAACCAAGCCTGGTCCCCATCACGGCGCCAGGGGTGACGGGGAGGTGGGCAGGGCTGGGGCTGTGATGGTGCCAGCAGCCTGGGTCCAGCCCTGGGCCCTGGCATCCCCACTGGAGCCCCTCCGCAGGGGTCTGCCAGCAGGTCCTCAGCACCCGGCCAGGCGCGCGCTGCCGCAGTGGGGTGGCAGCAGGGGCACCGGGGGCGGGGCGGGCTGTCACAGGATGGCGTGTCTTGCAGTTTCTGGGTGGCTTGCTGGCCACCGTCGTCCTGGACATAATCCACCTCGGCGTCTTCTACCCGCGGTCCGGCCTCTCGGACACCAGCCGCTTCGGGGCTGGCATGGCCATCCTCAGCCTGCTCCTCAAGCCCGTCTCCTGCTACCTCGTCTACCACATGTACCAGGAGCGCGGCGGGGAGCACCTCTTCCACTCAGGTGAGGACGCCGCCCCGGCCGCTCGGTCTCCCCCTCCCGGGAAGGGCAGGCACGCGACCCTTGCCAGCTGTCAGCCTGAGGCCGAGCTGGGGTGTGGCTCACTTCCCGGGGGCAGCTCTGGGCAGTCTGCGGCCTGAGGCCCGCCCTCGGTGCCCACCTGCTCCTGGCCCTGGCCCCCCTCTCCGGCACATGGGGACTCCCCGGTCCTGTGCAGAGCCCATGCTGGGTGGGCCGGGAGCTTCAGCAAAGACACCACGGCCCCGCCCAGCCCCACGCTTGCCCACGCCTGCGCTCTCAGAACCGGTCTCCCTTCTCATGGTGCTGAGCCAGTGTTCCTGCCCTCTTGATACATGACCTCACTTCCTCCCCCTCCCCTGAGAAGTGGGGAGTGGTGGGGTGTAGGCGTCTACTTTCTACTCCTGGGAACAGAGGCCCGAGTTTCCCATGATTGACCTGGGAGAGCGGCTGGGGCCCCTACCCTGGCAACCTCAGCAGTGCCTGCACCTGCCCCAGGGTGGAATGCCCGCCCATTGCACAGATGAATAAACTGAGGCCCACAGACTGGGACTTGTTCAGGATCCCAGGACAAATGTGCAGGGTGCTTGGAGGCCCACCACCCTGCCAGGGACCTGGCCCACGTCCTCTGGGCATGGCCACTGTGCAAGAATCCGGATATGGATATCTCTCCTGGATATGGTATTGCGATGTCCTGTGGCTGGCATCCGTGGGCCGGGGTCCTGAGCACTGCTGGGAAGCATGTTCCCCGGGCCCTGCTGCCGCGCTTTGAGCCAGGCTGTGTGACCTCGGCAGGGCTCTGACCCCTTGAGCCTCGGTGTCCTCACCTGCAAAGGGAGGGCGATGAAAGTACCTGCCCCGTGGGCTCATGGGGGGATTGAACAGTGCACCGTGGAGACACGGGGGGATTGAACAGTGCCCTGTGGACTCATGGGAGGATGAACAGTGCACCGTGGAGACACGGGGGGATGGAACAGTGCCCCGTGGACTCATGGGGAGGTTGAACAGTGCCCCGTGGGCTCATGGGGGGATTGAACAGTGCCCCGTGGGCTCATGGGGGGATTGAACAGTGCCCCGTGGGCTCATGGGAGGATTGAACAGTGCCCCGTGGGCTCATGGGGGGATTGAACAGTGCCCCGTGGGCTCATGGGAGGATTGAACAGTGCCCCGTGGGCTCATGGGAGGGATTGAACAGTGCCCCGTGGGCTCATGGGAGGATGAACAGTGCCCCGTGGGCTCAGGGGAGGATGAACAGTGCCCCGTGGGCTCATGGGGGGATTGAACAGTGCCCCGTGGGCTCATGGGGGGATTGAACAGTGCCCCGTGGACTCATGGGGGGATTGAACAGTGCCCCGTGGGCTCATGGGGGGATTGAACAGTGCCCCGTGGACTCATGGGGGGGTTGAACAGTGCCCCGTGGGCTCATGGGGGGATTGAACAGTGCCCCGTGTAGACACGGGGGGATTGACTGAGGGACCCGGCTGCAGGCGGGATGCCTGGGCCACTGCCAGTGTCGCGGTGCTGGCGTCAGGGAAGGGCAGGCTGGGGTCTGGTCTCGGTGCTCACCCTGTGTTTTTCCTTCCCCGCTGCACTGCCCCAGGCTTCCTCAGGCCTTCTCACGACCACAGCGCCTACCAGACGATCGACTCTCCAGAGGCACCTGCCGACCCCTTTGCAGGCCCGGAGAGCAGGGATCCAGCCGTCCGAGGGTACTGAAGCCAGCCGCGCGGAGCCTGGACCCACGCCAGGCTGCCCACTTCCTGGTACCTGGGCGGTCGTCCTGCCCCGCGTGGCAGGTGTGGCCTGAATCAGTGTCCTGAGACGCCAGGACCCGTGCGGACACCTGTCCCAAACTCCCCAAGGCCTCCCACCCGCAAAGGCCGCCCACGGTCCCCAGGCGGGAACCCTGGTCTCCTTCACTCCCACGCCACAGCTGCGTGGAGCAGCCCCGTTGTACCTGAGTGTGGCGGATCAGTGAGGCCCGCTCACGTCTCCCCTGGTCTGTGGGGCCCCTCCAGAGCAGCCCGGAGGGCTCCAGATCACGCTTGGCCCGGGAGTGAGGTCCCCGAGCTTCCCACTGCCTGGCTGCTCGGCTGCGGCCTGGAGGAGGTGTGTGAGCAGCACCCAGGACCCTCCAGGCCTGCAGGGCCCCTCGGGGCCACGGCATGAAAGTCAGGAATTCTGGGACGGGCTGCATTTCAAGCCATGTTTGATCTGGCTGGGCTGGGGCCTGGCTGCTCATGGCTGGGACAGTTTCTCCTGGCTGAGCTGCCTGTTCCGTTGTGGCTGGAGGAAAAGGACTCACACAGCCGCAGGGCTGGACCTGCCCTGAGCCTGGCTCTGGCCTCGCCAGGGCCACAGCAGCCAAGGGCATCCGGGTGTCTCCATCAGATGAGCCAGCCGTCGGTCTGGACCCTGCCCTGCCGCTGAGTCGCCGTGTGCCTTCCGTGTCTTCTGGAAAGGGCTGATGCCTGCCAGATGGTGGCTGCAAAGTCCGTGCCAAGTGCCTGGGCTGTGAAGGGCTCCCCAGGGCACAGCCAGCTGGCGGTGATGAGCACGGGCGGGGAGGTGAGGGCGACTCTCACCGCGGCTGTGGCGTTCTGGCCTCGGAGCTGACTTGGGTTCAGAGTCCCTCCAGTCCCAAGGCCAGGTCCCGCCCTGTTGTGTCCCCTCTGGTTCCCTGGCATCCAGAGGTCAAGATCATGGACACAGTCCCCCACCATTGTTGTGGAGCCGTCAGTCAATCAGAGGAGGCTGAGTAGCTGCCAGGCCTGCAGGGTGCTGGGGGCTTCTCGGCAGGCAACAGCCTGAGGCCGACAGGGCCCTGCAGTGCAGCCCGGGAGGCTGGGCGGCCGCGGTTGTGTGATGGTGGAGACAGCCACGCTGTTGTCCATCCCTGTGCAGCGAGCGCACCAGCAGTGGAGTGAACAAAGCATGCTTGTCCATCAGAGCGGCTGCCGCGCTGTGCGTGGAGCCGGCTGCGGAGTGGCAGGTGCAGGAGAACGTTGTGCGTTTTAACACCTCAGCAGTGCCACAGGTCAGTCAGTCTTTCTCCTTTCTAAGATTTATTTATTTGGAAGGCAGAGTTAGAGGGAGAGAGCTTCCTCTGCTGGTTCTCTCCGCAAACGGCCGCAGTGGCTGAGGCTGGGCCGGACTGAAACTCCATCCCAGTCTCCTCCTGGGCCGGGGGACCCCAGGGCTCGTGCCCTCTCTGCTGCTTTCCCAGGCGCATTCGCGAGCCCGATCGGAAGCAGAGCACCTGGGACTGGAACTGGTGCTCCTGTGGGAGGCCAGTGTCACAGGCAGGGGCTTAACCCACTGCACCACAACACTCCTCCCTGTGTGTCATTCGGGGCTGTGCACGTGGCACAATACAAAACCGTGGGCCGGAAGGACACGTCCTGTTCTTGATGGTAGTGGCCTTGAGTGGACACGGTGCATGGCCAGCGGAGTGGGATTCGACCGAGGGCAGCTGAGGGCCCCCGGCATGGCGTCCGTGTGGCCCACAGTCAGGTTTCCCAACAGAGAGTTCCACGCCCCCAAGTCTGGCTGGCTTTTGGGGGAGGGGGCAGAGGAGGGCTCCTGTCTCAGGCGGGGTCCCCAGCAGCAGACCCTGAGAAGAAAGCCAGGGTCATTGCCAGGAGCTGCTGTGAGGACGGGTGGGAGGGGAGACTTAAACTTCAGGCATCGGGAGGCTCCCGATCCATGTCGGGAGTCAAGTGGCTCCTGGAACCCAAGGCAGGCAGGAGCAGTGCAGGGGCACCAGTGTGGCTGCCCCCATCCACACAGCAGGCCCCAGCAGGGAGACTGAAAGATTGAATCATTTGTTTATTTGACAGGCAGAGTGACACAGAGAGAGATCTTCCATCACTGGTTCACTGCCCAAATGCCCACAAGAGCCAGGGCTAGGCCAGGTGAAAGCCAGGAGCCTAGACTCCATCCGGGTCTCACCTGTAGGTGCATGGGCCCAAGAACGTGGACCCTCGTCTGCTCCCTGCCGGGCCTGTTAGCAGGAAGGTAGATCAGAGGTGGAGCAGCTGGATCTCACACGAGTGCTCTGACAGGGATGCTGGCATTCCGGAGGCAGCTTAACCTGCAGTGCCACAACACCAGCCCCCCGAGGGGCAAATCCTGACATTCACTGGACGAATGACTGGGGATACCGGACGGGGGCGGAAAAGCCCTGAGCCCCAGGAGAGGCTCTGAGGCACAGGGACATCTGCCGGGAAGGCCTGAGGCTGGGACGTGCCTGCCCAGCGTGTGGGGCATAGCCAGGCGGCCAGTGTGGCTGGAGCCAAGCGAGGAAGGCAGGTGAGACCCATAAGGACTTCAGCTCCTGAGCGAGATGGGCAGAGATGGACACGGTCTGAAGTCCAGAGGGACCGCCAGCAGCTCGGACCTCGAGGAGAAGTCGACGGTGACCGGGCCAACTTGGGGATGCCTTGTGGAGGCAGAGCGGCAGGGCTCGCTGGTGAGCTGGATGGGGAGAGGAGAGGTGATGGCAGCTGTGGGGTCCGAAGGGCTGGGGCCTGCCTGGTCAGAGGGGAGGGCTGGGGTGTCGGCAGGCCAGTGTCTTGCCAAGCTGTCCAACTGGATGTCTTTGCCACCAGAGCAAAGACAGAGAGGCCCCTGGCCATGGGGCGGCCTCCACTGGCATTCTAGAAACTGCTGAGCACAGCAGGCAAGTGCCCCCAGCTTCGCCCTGGAGGGCTGCAGGCGCTCACAGCTCAGCCTTCCAGGTGACGAAGCCAGAGAAACTGCCCCGGGCTGGCCACTGCCTTCCGTGAGCCCTCAGTGTCCAGGATGGCCCAGAACTTCCAACTCCACGACCTGTCCCCAAACCAGCTCTGGAGCCGGCGAACCCTAGTTTGAATCCCAAATGTGCCTTGTGACTGGCTGAACCAGGACGGCAGCCTCCGCCCTCACCACACTTCATTTTCTCATCTGAGAAATGGGAGAGTCGGGGCTGGCGCTGAAGCACAGTGGGTAAAGCAGCTGCCTGCAGTGCCAGCATCCCACATGGGCGCCAGTTCAAGTCCTGGCTGCTCCACTTCTGATCCAGCTCCCTGCTAGTGCACCTGGGAGAGCAGCGGAGGATGGCCCAAGTACTTGGGCCCCTGCAGTCATGTGGTGACCGGAAGAAGCTCCTGGCTTCAGATCCGCCCAGCTCCAGCCTTCACGGCTGCTTGATGGAAGACCTCTCTGCCTCTGCCTCCACCTTCCTCTAACTCTGATTTTCAAGTGAATAAATAAATCTTTAAAAAGCAATGGGAGAGTCATGTGTCTGGCTCAGGGGTTAGGATCGAAAACCATGGAACTTAATAAGCGTTGAATAAATGTTAGATCCCATTACCTGTATTATGTCAATTATTCAGAGAGGGAGGGTGCGAGCCAGGCCATTTTTTTTGAAATCCATTCTGAGAACATTTACTAAGTGCTTTCTTTTGAAATATTCAGAAGATTGGGAAAATATTCAGGAAGTGAAACAGGTTTGCTCACTGGCAGCCTTTGGGCTCTGAGGGCCCAGGTCCCCAGGTGGGTTGGGTGCTGGGTGCACACATGTAACCCTAGAGACAACGGGTGTTGGAAAACTTATCTGAGTTAGAAACTTGGAATCCCAGATTTGAACCTGAAGGGAGCTTAAGAACTCCCCTAGCCCAATGGTTTCAAAATCTATTTTGTTTCAAACCCCTGGCACAAAAGAATACCCAGAACATCAGAGAGAAGCCCTCCCCCCTCCCTAGCAGGAGTGAAACCACATCCCCTGGGTCCTGGCTGGGGACACCGGAGCTGTGATTTCAGAGCAGAATGCGCAGGGCAGAGACGGGTGCAGGTGGAGTTCAGAGAGAAACAGGACTTCTACAGATGAAACGGTCACTCATGGAATAAACATAGCTGAAGAGAGAATCGGTAATGTGGAAGACAGAGTAGATAGAATGCAGCAAAAAGAACATAGGAGAGCTTAAGAACCAGAGAAAGAAGGTATAGACTGTAGACTTCCTGAGGGAGACGGTGGCAGAGGAGTTTCCAAAATGGGAAGAGATTTAAGAAGGCAAACAATCCCCTAACAGAAGTCACATCAACCCTGTCCCTCCCTGCTGTATCCTCACAACAGAGCTGTGGGGGGGCCCAGTAAATACTTAGAGTGAACAGATGCAGAACTCTGGAGACAAAAAGTTAGGATCTAAGGAAAGATACTGGCCTAGGAGTGATGGTTACAGCTGATGTCCCCGTAGCAGCCACAGATACCAGAAGGCGGGGAGATGAGGTGGTGGGAGTGGGGAGAAGGAACAGCCCGCTAAGATTGTGCACCCTGAGCCGTCTTGAAATATTCAGGAAACTGATTGGATGTCACCACCAATACACCTGCAGGGCAGAAATGCTCGAAGAATCCTGGTGGACGGGGGACTTTTGCAGGAGGAAGACCCGAGCCGTAGGAAGCTAATAGTTCAGTCCCTGAGAAAATAATAACAGCATGTAACTCAGGAGGAGCCAACCAGAGACGAGGTATTCTAAAGTCCTGGGTTAACTTTAGACTTTAAACACATGTACCTTGGGTAACCACTAAGAGAATGGGTGTGCAGTGCACAGTTTCGAAGCCAGTGGCTGGGGTGAGGCGGGGCCAGGGCGAGGAATAAGAAATTTTTAGCAATCCTAAAAAATGTAAGGAGCGGGCAAAATCTGACTATTAGCAATTCCCAAAATAAGATGACTGGGGGCTGCGTGGGTGCACGGGATGCCCGCCTGGGTTCTGACCACTCCGCTTCTGCCGGAACTTCCTGCCCACGTGCACCAGGGAAAGCAGCCGCAGGTGGCTCAGGTGCCGGCCCAGCCACCCACACTGGGAGCCTGGCCTCGGCCTGGCCCACCCTGGCTGTTGCAGCCGTCTGGGGGTGGGTCAGCAGATGGGTCTGTCTGTCTCTCTCATTCTGCCTTTCAAATAAGTAAATAAGGCCGGTGCCGCAGCTCAATAGGCTAATCCTCCGCCTGCGGCGCCGGCACACCAGGTTCTAGTCCCGGTCCGGGCACCGGATTCTGTCCCGGTTGCCCCTCTTCCAGGCCAGCTCTTTGCTATGGCCCGGGAGGGCAGTGGAGGATGGCCCAAGTCCTTGGGCCCTGCACCCCATGGGAGACCAGGAGAAGCACCTGGCTCCTGGCTTCGGATCAGCGTGGTGTGCGGGCCGCGGCGGCCATTGGAGGGTGAACCAACGGCAAAGGAAGACCTTTCTCTCTCTCTCTCTCTCTCTCTCTCTCTCTCTCTCTCTCTGTCCACTCTGCCTGTAAAAAAGAAAATCATCAAATATAATAAGCGAATCGTTGCGAACGGGCCTACGCCCCGGGAGGCCCTGCATTCACTAAGCATCTGGTGTGGACACCAAGCAGCAGGGGCACGTGAACCGGCCCGAGGTTCGGAGGCGCGGGCCCCCCACAGATCACGCAGCACCGCGACCCGGGCTCGGTGCTCCTGCCTCCCAGAGGCGCCCACGCTCGGGACGGAGGCCACGAAGGGCTGCGCGGAGGCCGGCGGGGACCGGCGAGCTCAAAGGCTTGGCAGCTGCACCGTCAGAGAGCCTTGAGGGAAGTGTGCCTGGGCCAAACTCGCGGCGCGACCAGGGAGGGATCCCGAGGCCGAACGCTGCCCGCCTTACACTTGCGGGGCTGCACGCGGGTACCACAGCCTCGCCCGCAGGCGCCCTCCGCTGCGATCCGGCCCGCGCGTGCGCAGACGCCGCGGCCACGCCCAGGGGCGGGGCTAGCACCGGCGGGCTCTCTCTGCCGGCCGACGCTCGCTCCGCCCGGTCGCCAGCTGGTGTCGTTAGCTGTCCGCGGCCGAGGGCCCCTCCACGTTCAGAGCGGTGTGCTCGGAGGAGGACCCGAGGAGGACGGACGCGCGAGGTCGCGGGTCCAGGAGGCCAGAAAACTGGCCGTGGGCTCTTTGAGTGGGGAGGGGAGGGGGCTGTGAGTGTCCTGGAGGGGAGTGGGGCTGCAGCCCGGGCAGGCAGAGGGACCCCCGGCAGACCCTGCGGACCGAGCCTCCGCAGACCGACCCTGGCGAGGCGTGAGGCGGGCGGCGTGGGCGGGGCTGGGCCCCCGGGCAGCGGCCGGCCTTGCGGGCGGGGACCCTTCTGAGCGCCAGCGTCCTCTTCTCTGGAGCAAGGAGCCTCGGCCTTGAGGCTGCGGTGCAGACTGCGGTGCCCGCGCGGCTCAGGTACTAGCTTGTCAGTCCCTGCTGTGCGCCAGGCGCTGTTCTGCGGGCCCCAGGCACACGAGGGGTGGGAGTGGGGAGGGGCCGCAGAGCCTGCCCTCGTGTGTCTCGTGGGCCCCTGGAGGGAGGACCTCGCTCTTTTTTCAGTACAGGGTGGGGGAGTAAGTGCAGGGGTGGGCAGAGCGGGAAGGAGGCTGAGGGAGACAGGGGCGGAGTCCCAGGCAGCCCACAGGGAGGGCAAAGGCCCTGGGGCGGGAGCCTGCATGGACTGGAGGGCAGGAAGGGGAGAGGAGCAGAGGATGAGGCTGGTCAGCAGCTGGGAGGCAGGGAGTGAGGCAGAGGTCGGCAGGCTTTTTCTTCTTTTTTTCAGATTTATTTGAAGGAGTTACTGGGGTGGGGGCAGTGGGTTTGTCCATCCACTAGTTCACTCCCCAAATGGCCACAACAGCCGGGTCAGGCCAAAGCTAGGAGCCCAGGATTCCATCTGGGTCTCCCACGTGGCTGCCAGGGGCTCAAGAGGCCGGGCCATCCCCTGCTGCTGTCCCAGGCACATCCGCAGGGAGCTGGACCAGAAGTGGAGCAGCGGAGCCTGGAATGCTGGTGTAACAGATGGCAGCTCAACCCACTGTACCACAGGGCCAGCCCCAGCAAACTGCTTAGGAAAAAAAAATTATCAGGGCCGGTGCTGTGGCGTAGCAGGTGAGGCTGCGGCCTGCAGTGCCAGCATCCCATGTAGGCGCCTGTTCGAGTCCCGGCTGCTCCACTTCCAATCCAGCTCTCTGCTATGGCCTGGGAAAGCAGTAGAAGATGGCCCGGGTCCTTGGGCCCCTGCACTCATGTGGGAGACCGGCAGAAGCTCCTGGCTCCTGGCTCCTGGCTTCAGACTGGCACAGTCTGGCCATTGTGGACTACTTGGGAGTGAATCAGCAGATAGAAGACCTCTCTCTCTCTCTCTCTCTCTCTCTCTCTCTCTCTTTTCTCTGTGCCTATTTGTAACTCTGCCTTTCAAATAAATAAATAAATCTTTTTTAAAAAAGATCCGCTGGTTCCCAGTTGGCTACCATGGCCAGGACTGGGTCAGCCTGAAGCCAGCAGTCAGGAGCTTCATCTGGGTCTCCCACATAGGTGGCAGGGGCCCAAAGACTTGGGCCATCCTCCACTGGCTTCCTAGGCACATTAGCAGGGAGCTGGATTGGAAGTGGAGCAGCCGGGACTTGAACCTACAACTCATGAAATGCCAGCGTCACAAGCAACAGCTTAACCCTCTGTGCCACAACGCCAGCCCCTGATTCTTTTTTTATTTGAGGCAGAGAGAGAGAGAGAGAGAGAGAGAGCACTGCTTCATCTGCTGGTTCACTCCCCGGATGTCCACAACAGCCAGGGCCGGGCCAGGCTAAAGTCAGCCAGAAACACAGCCCAGGTCCCCACGAGGGTGGCCAGGACTCAAGTGTGCAGCAGCTGGAAACTGAGTAACAGGACTCGATCCCGGGCACTCTTAAACGGCATGTGGCTGCCCCAAGAGGCATTTTACCCACATTGCCAAAGGCTTCCCCTTAGAACCTGGTTTCCCAGCAGCGTCTTTGGTGACTCAGTGTGGGAGGGGGTGACCGGGGCTGGGAGGCTTCCTGTAGCCACTCCAGCCTGCTCAGGATCAGCAGGGTGGACGCTGCACGTTGGGGGGGGGGGGGGGCTCCAGGAGGGTGAGCAGGAGGCGGCTGAGGGCGGGACTGAGGGAATCCAGGGTGGGGGGGGGCAGAGGGCGGGATCCCCCAGGGAAGCACTGTTGGGACTGGAAGGAAGCCGAGTGAAGTCTGGGAGTGGACTCTGAAACAATGCTTGGCGAGGGTTCTGTTGTATTGGATGACAGAGTTTGCAAGAAGAGCAGGTGGCTGAGGTCGGTCAAGGACAAGGTTAGGGGAGACCAGGAGTCCCTGGAGGCCTCTGGGTGGGTGGGGTCATCAGGGAGAATTGAGACAGGCTGTGTGGGAGGTGACAATGACTTTCTCGAGGAATGGGGCCGTGAGCAGATACAATGCCTGCGGGCAGCTGAGGGCCAGGGTGTTCCAGAGAGGAGGGCCGAGACTGGTCTGGGAGTGGCAACAGGAGAAAGGCAGGAAGCGGGCCCACCCTTCCTGCTGGCCCCCGTCTGAGAGGGCTGCCCGAGAACAGGGCCCACGGGAGACAGCAGGAGGTGGGGGCAGAGCTGGTGGGGGTGGCGTGGCAAGGTGGGAGCCCGGACATTCCATCCTCTTCCTCCCCTAGAGCCCGTGGATCAAGCAGACCCGGCCTCGACTATGGTTTGGACCAAGGACGCCACTGCCCCGCACTCCCTGGAGTCAAGGCCTGAAGCTGGCCACAAGGAGAATGTGCCCCCTAGGCCTGCTGTCCCCCTGAGGCCAGGCAAGACACTCAGTGGCCTGGGTGGGCGCAGAGCCCCTTTCTCAGGCAGGCCAGCCCGGGGCCTTGCTAATTTCAGAGGTGAACCCCCTGCCCCGGTGGGAGCAGGCCAGTCTCTCCAGCCTGGGGCGCAAGGGAGAGGCCGGGGCAGGAAGGGAGCGGGCGGGCCGGGAAAGGGCCTGTGTGCTGCCCTTGTCCAGAGGGGCCCCGGGTCAGTCTGTGCCAGGGCTCAGGAGCAGCCCAGGAACAAATTCAGGTTCTGCCACTCACATCCCAGCTGGGTGACCACAGGCAAGATGCTGACACTGTGAGCTCTCGCTCCTACCCACAAAGGTGGCCCCTTTGGCCCACTCTGCCCCCACTGTCCCCAGAGTCCTCCCCCTCCCACCCCTCCACGCCCCAATCCCACCCAGCCGCCTCGGTGCCTCCCTTTGCACCCCCGTGCCCTTCCATGTTCACACGGCGCCGCCAATGGCACTGCCCGGAGCCCCAGGGCCGCCATCGGTCGGCAGGGGGAGCAGCGGGTCCCGGAAGTGTGGGCTCCCTGCCACCCAAGGCCTGGACAGTTCCCCCGTCCCACGCGAGTGTGGACGCTCTGGGTCCTCCCCAGGGCATGATTGTCTCTCCTTCCCTCAGAGCCACGGAGAGGCCCAAGGAGCCCGGGTGGCGGCCTGCGCAGTGGACATGGCTGGTGCAGGCCCTGGTGCCAGGCCGAGAGGCAGGGGCCTGCCGCCGCAGCCTCCCCTGGGACGATGATGGGCCAGGAGCCCTCTCCAGTCCAGAGCAACCTGGCCAGTGCTAGGTCCTGCCTGGGCCTTGCCCTGAAGGACACGCCTGACCCGGCGGCCAGCGCAAGCTCCCGACAGCAGAGCAATGTGTGGGCCCGGGCCGCGTGGCCCCCGGCGAAGGCACGAGACCTCACCGTCCTCGCCCAGCAAAGCAACCTGGGCCTCAGCAGCACTGGCAGCCCCGCCCCCCTGAGCTGCTCCGGGCCCCACGCGCTGACCTGGGCACGTCCCCCTCCGAGAAGGCCGCCGGCTCGCCCATCCCCTGGCCCAAGGCGGTCCCAGCTGCAGGCCACAGACACCCTCTGGCCGGGCTTTAGGCCTCTCGCTGGGCGCCCCCGGCCGGGCCCCAGATCCTGGTGTGGCCTGGGGAGCCGGACCTCCGGGCTCCTTGGGAAGCCCCTGACGCTGGAGGACCTGGCTGTCCCTGCCCCGCGCCAGGCTCGGGCCCCGCCCCACGCTGCCATTCCCCAGCTGCTGGCCCCCGTGCGACAGCCGGAGCACCAGGCCACCTGTCTTCTGTGCCCGGCATTCCACGAGCCCCCAGGCTGGGAACTCCCAGGCCACTCCCGACCCAGCCGGCCCACCGTGGCTTGCCGGAGTCACAGGGAAAGCGAAAATGTCCCGGACCCTCAGGCCTACGGCAAGCCGGTGTGGCCCGAGAGCGCTCTGCAGGGGCTGTCTGGGGTTCTTGACTCTCAGCGGGAGGTCCCCCCCACTCCACACCTGGGGCCAGGAGAGAGCAGCAGGGGGCCGCCGGGGGACCCCAGGCCTCCTCCACTCCGTTCCTCGGCCTTCTCGGGAGCAGCAGGCGGGGTGGGGGCCCTCAGGGAGCAGGCCGGTGGGGAGAAGGCGAGGACGGCTTCCTGTCGGTCCGGTCTGCCAGATGAGGCCTTGGTGGCAGTCAGAAGCACAACACAGGTAGAGGCCAGAGGAGGCTGGGGGTGGGGCCCCTGGGCAGGCAGCCTGTGCCCCGCTCCTCGGCTGAGAGCCATCGGTCCTCTGCCTTTCTCAGCGTGAGGCCCCGCCCACCGTGACCCCGGAGTCCCAGGCAGCCTGGTGAGACCAGGGCTGGGGGAGGTGGGGTTTGGGGGTTGGGGACATCCTCCTGGGACAGTTCCTCTCCCGTTGTCTGGAGGGGAGGCCGTGGTAGCAATTACAGAGGAGGGCGCTTGGTCCTGCTGGGGATGCTGGGAGCCCCCTGAGGCCCCGGGAACAGGGACGTGGGCACAGCAGCTCCTGGGTTGGGGGCCCTGATGCCTGGCGGTCAAATGGGGCCTTCCCCTGCCTCCGGGAGCTCTCTGGTCTGGCATTTCCAAGTGTGGCCGGCAGCACGAGGGAGGTTCTCCTATTTGCAGCTGGGATTCCCCTGTGGCCTGGGCGTCCCCCTTGAAACTGCTGGCCAGGCCCTGTGGACACCCCCTACCTCCCCTCCCCCAGTCAGCATCAGCCCTCCCTCCCCCTCACCCTCCCCCCCAGCCGGCAGCTGCTGTCCAGATGTTTCCGAGCCTGGAGGCGCGCGGCGGCGGCCGTGGCGCTGGGTCGCCAGCAGCTGCTACAGAAAGGCCTGCGGGCGCTGCGCTGGGCCGTGCGGCTGCGCGAGGCCCGGCTGGAGGCGGCAGGGCGGCAGCACAGGAAGGCCCTGCTGACCCGGAGCTTCCGAGAGGTCAGGGGTGTCCAGGTTGGGCGGGGGAGGTGCCGAGGGCCAGGTGTCTGGGAGGAGGCTCCGTGCATGGGGGCACCTGTTAGGCTCAGGCCGCGCCTCGGGGATGCTCAGCGGTAGAGCGTGTTGTTAGTTCAAATCCTGCCTCTGTTGCTTTCTAGCTGTGTGACCTTGGGCACGTTAGGTAACCTCTGCGTGCCTCAGTCTCCTCATCTGTAAAATGGGGTGATAATCGTTGTCTCTACCCCTCAGGGTTGCTGTGAGAGTAAGTTAGTGAATAGAAAGGACTCCTAGCCAGCGCTCTGCCTCCTGTGTGGCTGCAGCTCCTGGTTGGTTGGCAGGTTGCCAGCCAGGACCAGCAGGTGCCTCTCCGAGCCTCCCTCCTTGGCAAAGGGTGCTCGGGAGGGCCCAGCCCCAGGTTTTGCTCCCAGAGCAAATCCTGCCTCTTGGGAGCTCTCTCTCCATTCATTGGTTCGTGCCTACCCAAAGTGGCAGGGTAGACCAATGGTTAAGGCCTCACAGTCTGGCGGAGCAGGGGGAGGGGTCAGGGTCTGGTCCCTGCTCCTTGCTGGTTCTCCCTTGGGAGGCGCTTTCCGGGCTGTCACCGGCATCCCTCTTCCCCTTCTGTCCTGACCCAGTGGAGAACTCTGACCCCTCAGCGGCCACATCCGGGCGGGGTCCGGACCAGCGGCCACACCCAGGCAGCGTCAGCACTGCCTCCTCTTGGAGCAGGCCAGCGCCGTGGCCCCTCCTTGGGAAGAAAGTAAGTGGTGGTGGCCCCCGCCCGGGAGAGCAGGTCGGCTGGGCCCCCAGGTTGGTCAGCGTGGCCTCCTTGCCCCCACCCCTGCCTTGCTGCCCCTCGCGTCCCTCCCACTGGACACGAGAAGAACAGAGCAGATGAGCAGGGGCTGCCACACAGCCTGCCGGCTCGGCAGCGGGCGCAAGATGGCTTTGCCAGGTGGGGGACACCTTGGCGGCGTCAGTGTGATGTTTATTAAGACTTGAAGAAAGCCTCCTCCCCTCGCCTTTTCCTTCTTTTCTTTCGAGGTTTATTTATTTTAAAGACAGAGTGGTAGACAGGGAGAGAGGGAGATTTCCATCTGCTCGTTCATGCCCCACATGACTGCAATGGCAGAGGCCGGTCCTCAGGCCTCCTTCCAGGGCTCCCACACGGGCAGCAGGGGCCCGAGCACTGCGGCAGCGTCTCCCACTTCCCAGGATGCACTAGCAGGAGTCTGGATTAGAAGCAGAGATGCCGGGACTTGAACCCGACACCGCAGTGCGGGATGCACGCGAGTGCTGACTCAGTGCGCTGCACCACAAAGCCTGCCCCTTGTTCTTGTTTTGAGCTTGAGCAAGTGTATTTAAAATAATTATTTCAATGACATTTATTTTAATACTTGATTGTTGTGAAAAAAAATATCCACATGGAGGGCCGGTGTCATGGCGTACTGGGTAAAGCCGCCGCCTGTGATGTCCGCATCCCATATGGGCACCAGTTCGAGTCCTGGCTGCTCCACTTCTGATCCGGCTCCCTGCTAATGACCTGGGAAAAGCAACCGAAGATGCCCCAAGTGTTTGGCCCCTGCCACATGCGTAGGAGATCTGGAAGAAGCTCCTGGTTACAGCCTTGCCCAGTCCTGGCCGTTGTGGCCATCTGGGGAGTGAACCAGGGATGGAAGACCTTCCTCTCTCTCTCTCTCTCTCTCTCTCTCTGTTTCTACCTCTCAATAAGTCTTTTAAAAAAATCCAAGTTGGGATAGGCATTGTCCTGGTGGTTAGGAAGCTGGTTAGGACGCCCGTGTCCCACACTGGAGCGCCCGGGTTCAAGTCCCCGCTCTGACTCCCGGCTCCAGCTTCCTGCTAATGCACACCCTGGGAGGCAGCGATGATGCTCGAGTCGTCGGGTCCCTGCCAGCCACGTGGGAGACTTCGGTTGAGTTCCCGCTCCCCGCTCTGCCCGGGCTCAGCCCTGGCCACTGCAGGCATTCGGGGAGCAAACCAGGGCGTGGGAGATCTCTGTCTGTCTCTCGAATTTAAGAAAAATCTGGACAGGGCTGAAGAGATAAAGCAGCAGCAGGGCCTCCCCCTCCCCCCACCAAGAGGCTTTTACCATTCGGGAGCGAGTGGGGTGGGAGGGCACCCGGCGCTGTCTCAGGCTGGGATGGACAGGCGGGGGCCGAGTGTCCTCCTGGGCTGGGCGTCCGTTTCTCTCTGGGCAACTTCGCTCTTAGTCCAGGGAGCCCGAGGGAGGAGACAGAAGCCTGGCCCATTGAGCTGCGTCCCGGGCAGAGACCAGGTGACAAAGATGGCAGAGCTCAGGTCCCGCAGGCCCTGTGGAGGCTGGCTGGTGAGACGGTGGGGCGCTGGGAGGCGGGGAGGCGGGGCCAGGCCAGGCAGGGCGGAGGGGGCTCCTGCATGAAGGGTTGGAGCATCTGCTTGTGCCCATTTTATGCGCGGAACACTGAGGCCCAGGGATGTGAAGCAACAGCCTGAGGCCAACAGATCCAGGAGTGCTCACCCTGGGCTGTGCACCTCTGGGGCTGAGGCGGTCCACCCAGAGGCCTGACCGTGGAGCTGCCACGTCCCTCCCTCGTGGCTCCAGAGCTGGGCGAGGCCCCGACCCCGCCCTGAGGCTTCTCTCTGCTCGCTCACTTTCCTCTCCTCCCTCCAGTTTTCCTCCTGTGGAGCCATCAGAAGCAGCAAGCCATCCGGGGAGAGGCCGCACAGAGCACTCGGGGCACCGGGCAGCCCCCCGAGACTGCAGACGCGGCTGGGGGGGCCCCAGCGGGCCCCCAGCACCACAGAGCCTGGCTGTGCAGGTCGGGGGACGTGGAGGAGGGCGGGAGTGGGGACCCTGCTCCCCCTAAGTCAGCCCTTGTGCCTTCTGGTGCTGAGAGATAAGGGTACAAACAGGGGTGGAGACAGCTGTCCCTGAGTGAGGATGCCTGAGACCCGCTGGCCCAGCCAGGGCCTGGGATTCACTGATAAGCGAGTGGAGCCCAGCGGAGCCGAGCCCATCTGAGCTGTGCTGGCCTCCCGTCGCCACCAGCTGGTGGTGGTTGGGGGAAGACCGGAAACGAGCAGTCCCGTGGCAGGCGCAGCTGCCCCCCCCCCCCCGAGTTAGGTGCTGCGAAGGGAAGGAACTGATGGGTGGGTTTGTTTTCACTCTTTGTGGCCACATTCTCATCATGAGGCCCAGCCTTGCTGGAGCTTTGTTATTCGGGGGGGGGGGGCGCTAGGGAGGTTGGAGAAAGGTCTGTGGGGCCAAGCACGCGGGGCCTTGTGGGCCGTGGGAAGGAGGTGAAATTTCAACGTCAGAGCAAGGGCAGCGGGGCCGGCGGGTGCCGTGGTGGGCTGAGCATCTCTGCGGCGCCGGCATCCCATATGGGCGCTGGTTCAAGTCCCGGCTGCTCCACTTCCGATCCAGCTCTCTGCTGTGGCCTGGGAAAGCAGCAGAAGATGGCCCAAGTCCTCGGGTCCTTGCACCCACGTAGGAGACCTGGATGGAGCTCCTGGCTCCTGGCTTCAGCGAGCCAGTGGGTGGAAGTTATTTCTCTCTCTCTAACTCTGCTTTTCTGATACTTACACAAATATTTAAAAAAAGAGCGAGTGAGCAGGGGAGCTGCGCTGGAGGGCTTAGCAGGGAGAAGACTGGGTCTGCGTGTGGCGAACTTCATCTGGCAAATAGGAACTGGCTGGAAGTTGGCCAAGAGCAGGCCAGCTAGGGGCCAGCTAGGCGTCCAGGTGCGACAGTGTCATCGTCTCAGCAGGCGACATGCCGTGCTGTCTGCGTAGCAACCCCATTCCATAGATGAGAAAACTGAGGCTCGGAGAGGTGAAGTGGCTTGGCTTGCCCAGGGCTCAGGTAGTTGGTGTCTGGCAGGTGGCAGGCAGCTGGAGTTGGTCATCGGTTATTAGGTCTGGCTTGGGGACTCCCTCTTGGCTCTCCTAGGTGCTTTGGGGCCTGGAGGCGGTTTGTGCAAAGAGGGGCCCAGTACCGAGACCACCTGGCTGACCGCCGGGCGGGGACCCTGAGGACGTGCCTGGGACAGTGGGTCCGGATGAAGCAGCTCCGGGCCTTGGACGGGGCGAAGCTGACCCTGCTGTGTCTCTGCCGGCAGAAGACAGGTGAGCGAGCGGTGGCCGGGGCCTCCCACCCCAGCAAACCGTGCCCCTGCAGCCCTTCCTCGGAGGCCCCGGTGGGATCTGCGGGGGGTGGGCTCGCGATGGCAGCAGGGAGGACTGGGTGCTCGCAGGGGTGCAGGCTGCCGGGCCTGGGGGGTCAGGAGAGGCCGCAGATGACGCTGGGGTTGTAGGAGAGCTTGTCCACATCCTCCCTCCGCCGGCCGCTCAGCACTGGAAGGCGTGGGCTCCCTGCGCTGGGGAAGCTGCTGGCTGACGGGGGAGGCTCAGCCCTGCCCTCGGACGCCTCCCTGGGGAGGCTGGGCTCTTGGAGGTCTCCCAAGGGGAAGGCTGGGGCTGACGGGAGGGGCAGTGCCCACGAGCGGAGCGGCTTCACCCCCGCCTTTGGGCAGAGGGAGGTGGGAGGGGTCGTTGCTCACCCATCTCTCAACTGTTTGCAGGGAACACGGCCTTCTGCATCGCAATCACGGGAGCCTCTGCTGCCCAGGGCCTGGGGGAGCGGGCTCAGGCCCGGGGGCTGCTCCAGGGGCCAGGCCCGGCCTCACTCCAGGAAGCCTGCCGGAGACTGGCCCTCCAGCGGGCCCTGCTGCTCTGGAAGACACGGCTCTCCCAGCGCCAGCAGGCAGAGTAGGTGTCCACGAGCTTGTGACCCAGGGTTAGCCTGGAGGGCTCCAGGTGGCATATGGACTGTCCCACACGGCCCCGGCTGCGTCCTGTTCCCCACCATGGCCCCAGGGTGGGGCCTGGCTGTCACTGGTATCCTGGTGCCAGGCCCTGGGATGTGGCCCAGGGACACGGAGACAGTGACTAAAAGACAGCTGCGGGGCGCATGAGCATCCGGGCACCCAGACAGGGAGCTGGAGCCTGGATGGAGCTGCCTCTTGCCCATCTCCCAGCCGGGTGTGCGCCCCCTGGTGGCAGGGATCGTGTCCATCTCCTCACCCTGCTCTCTGCACCAGTAGGCACCTGCAGATGCGCTGAGGACGGGGACAGAATTACTGTCCCCTGTCCACTTCTTCATACACAGCCAAGAGCTCTAAACCACGCTGTGAATCCAGCGGAGGGCCCCAGAGTATGCACAAGACAGCCCGTGTCGGGTTGACAGCCCAGGGTGACGGCTGCACGGAGCAGAGGTGGGGGTCGGGAGGGGCCAGCTCCCTGACAGGGTGTCAGCGGGAACAGAAGCTGTTTGCAGCCCTGAGAGCCACAGCCCCGACACCCATCACCCCTGCACCCACCTGGTCCACTTGGACGCTCAGTTCTTTCAGTACATCCCTGGGAGCCCAGGAGAACTCAGTTCACCGCGCCCCTGCAGGACATGGCCCTCCCTCCACCAGTCCATCCTCTGGGCTTCGGGCATCAGGGCCCCGCCGCCGTCTCCTGGGCTGTACCCGGGGCTGCCCTGCTGGCCTGAGTGGAGCCCAGCTCTGCTGCTGTTTGGAGTTTGGGGAAATGGAGCTCCCCCGGGCCTCAGTTTCCCCATTTCCACCCCTGCGTGGAAGGAGACGCCGGGGGGCCGTTGTGCCTGTGGCCTCTGGGGCCTGGGGTCCTTGGGCCTAGGGCCCCGCGCACCCTTGATCGCGCGATGACCCCTCCCCCACCCCAGCCTTGGGAGTGTGGTGAGCTCAGCCGGCCTTCGTGGCTCACTGGGGTCGCCGGGCGGGGCACTCTGGAAGAGTCCGCAAGCCCAGGCCGTGAAGTGAGAACCTGGGCTGAGACCCCGTGGGAGCCCGCAGCGATGCCGCGTTCGGCCAGTTTGGTGGCTCTGGGCAGAGCTCCAGCCCTGTCCACCTCTGGCCCCTGGTGTGCCCCTTCTAGCTCAGGCCTCAGCGGCCAGGGTGGGCTGCCCCGCCTTGGCCAGGGGACGAGGCCGGTGCCTGGAGACCCACCTGCCCTCTCTAGCTCCTTCTTGCAAGGCGCGCAGCAGCGGGCGATGCGACGCATCCTCGGGCGTTGGCGCAGGAGGCCGTGGGGTCCGGGCACCCCGCCAGGCGGCAGCACCACCAAGACCTCCTGTGCCCTGAAGCCAGCGGCCAGCATCCCAGGAGGAGCAGCTTCGCCAGCCTGTGGCTCACCCTGCTGCTCGCTGGCGAAGGTGAGGGCCAGCGGTACGGGGCGGGCGGAGAGGGTGGGCCCGGGCCTGGGCTGGGGGGCCCAGGACCGCTCTTGTCTCTCCCCAGGCCTCCAGGGCCCCCGCCCTCCTGGAGGCTCAGGTGAGCTTTCGGCGGGCGGCTGAGCGGCGGCAGGAGAGGCGGTGCCTTCTGCTGTGGCAGGTGCGGGCCCAGCAGTCTCGGGCTGCGGCAGGATGGAGCCGGCGCGGCCTCCAGAGGCGGTAGGGACCCCTCTACGGGAACAGTGAGCCGTGCTGCCCGCCCCGCTGTCTCCCTGCCCCTCCCCCCCGGCCCCGATCCCTGGTCTTCACAGCAGCATTGCTCAGGGTCTGCAGCCCCCTGGGGCTCCCCTCTACCACCCCCATAAGCTTGGCCCCAGACAGAGGACCCCTCAACTCCTCCTGCCAGCTCAGAGCCACCAGGGCTGGGTCACGGCTTCTCCGGGAGAGTCCACAGCTGTGGCTCACTCAATTACTCACTCATACAATGCTTAAGAGGGGCCTGCCCAGGTTCTAATCCCAGCTCTGCCCCTCGCTGGCTGTGTGATCTCGGGTAAGTTGTATAACTTCTCTGTGCCTGGCTCTCCCACCTGTGAAATGGGGCAATAATAGTGTTCACTGCCATGGGTTGGGCGTAGACATCGTCCAGCAGCCGTGCCTGGCTCATGGCTGGTGGCTGGGCACAGGATTGGCGTTGGATCTGGGGGTCCCATCCTGTCTCCACCACCTGTCCCTGGGACCCCAGAAACCCACCCTCTGCCGCAATGGAAACAGGGAGCAGTCGCCCCAAGCCCCTCCCTGTTGCTGAAGGGAGAGGTGCGGGGAGGTGGGCTGCGTGTGCCTGAGCAGCAGTGACCATCCTCGGGGTGGACACACCCCTTCCCACCCAGTGTTCTCCTCAGCTGGAGCCAGTGGGCAGCAGCCCAAGGGGCCTGGAGAGAGCTGGCCACCCGCCAGGCCTGGGATCGGAGCTGCAGGGCTGTGCTGGGCCTGTGGCGGCAACGGCTGGCCCAGTGGCGAGAGGCAGAGCGGAGGGCTGGGCAGCGGGCCTGGGGGCTGGCGCGAGACGCCCTGCGCCGTTGGCACTCCTGCTGGCAGAGTGAGTGGGGGTCTGGGGCGGGGGCACCGTGGTTGACGGCAGGGCCAGGGTCTGTTGGTGAGACTCCGGGTTCCATATCCTGCAGCATAGAGAGGATGGCTCAGCTCCCAGGGCACACCCAGGCCTGGGTTACAGAGCTTGGGGTTGGGATCTGGAGTCTTGGGGAGGGGGTCTTTGCTCTTCACCTCCCTGGCTCTGGGGATCTTAAGCAGCTTGAGTCTCATCTATAAAACGGGGACACGGTCCCCAACTCAGAGGCGGCTCATGAGGCCCCTGTGGGGAGACCCCTGTAAAGTGCTTGGCCTAGAACGCCATCTCCATCACCACCCCGTCCAGGCCTCCAGGGGTCACTGAGGTCAGAGCTGGGGAGGGGGAGCAGGGGCCTGGCGTGCTCAGAGGGTGCCCAGGGCGGGCAGGCGGGGAGCTCAGCGGGCAGAGCTGCGGGGAGGAGAGCAGAGGCAGTAGGAATGGCAGAGGCCGCGGTGAGGACCGGCGGAGCAGGCGGGGCGGAGTGTGGCCAGTGAGGGTCCCCCTGAGGCGCACCAAGGGGCGGGCCAGGGCTGTAGTCTTGCGAGGAGGCTCTGTGGCAGGTGGCAGGGCACTGGGAAGGGTGTGTCTACCCTGAGGATGGTCACTGCTACCTGGGCCTCTCTCCAGAGCACCTAACCCCAAGGCAAGGAGGAGCCGGTGCCCGAGCCAGAAGCGACGGCTTCTTCGTGGTTTAGCGTCAGGAGTGACGCCATCACATCCACCCACTTCTGTTAGAAACGAGGCAGCAGGCCCGGCCGACACCCACGCGGAGGGCACTGCGCAGGACAGGACAGGAATACCGGGGGATGTGGGGGGCCGGGGGGCCGCTGGGGGAGCCGCCCATGCACGGACGCGCCTTGGGATAGGCTGGCCTGGCTGCCAGACCTCACCTTTTACAGAAAAACCGGAAATCCAGATTCTCCTGATTGCTAAGCCTGGATTTTAAAATAGAACAAACAATAAAGACCCCACCCCGACGACTCTCTGAGCTAGGTTAGCATGGTAACCAGGCACGCCCGAAACAGAAGTATGTTCACCCAGACCGCCGGGGCGGCCACCTCTGTCCCCGCTGAGCTGGAGGGCAAAAGGCTGGCAGAGCAGGGCCGGGGGGAGCCTGGCTGGCAGAGCAGGGCCAGGGGGAGCCTGGCTGGCACCCCGCAGCACTGCAGTGTCTCTCTGGCCCCAGGACAACAGATCCTGCACACACAGTACGAGAGGTGGGCACGGATCCACCTGCAGAACCTGCGGCGGGCCGTGTTCCAGGGCTGGCGGCAGGCGGCAGCTCGTCGGAGACGTGTGCAGAGGTGGGAGGGGGGCCTGGGAGGGGGCCCGTGGTTCCCACCCCAGGACAAGCACCCAGGGTGGATACTCAAGGGTGGCGGCAGGGAAGGAGAGCCCAGCCTGGAGATGGAGGGCCAGGCCGCAGCCTCCGTGATCTGTTTTGAGGGGGTGGGAGCCCCTGACGCCCACCGGGATCCTCACAAGCCCCAGGGTCGGGTCGGTCCCGTGGTTTCAGAGGATCCAGTTAACATAGAGGCCGACTCCTCAGACACCCCCCAGCAGACAAGGGAACGCGTACCCCTAAAGCCCGAGGTTCACAGATGGGGTCTGTGCGTGCCAAGGCCCCTCGAGGAAGGCCCATGCTTTCCCGTCACTCCCTGGCCAAGACACTTTTAGGGAGCAGGGCTGAGACGCGTTTCAACTGTGAGTTTTGACTCTGAGTGCCAGCTGGGCCCCTCCTCCGCTCCTGTTCTGCAGCCACTTCCTGGCCTCGTGTGAGGTGGCAAGAGACACGAGAGCACTCCGGGCCCAGCGTGGAGCCCTGCAGGACGGCCTGAGGAGGAGGACACTGGGGGCTGCCTTTGCCACGTGGCGGGAAGCCCAGGCTGCTGCAGCCCGCGGCCAGGAGCAGCGTGTGGCCCAAGTCTCCGGGGCCTGCCAGGGAGGCCTTGGGCAGTGGGTCTGGACAAACAGGCAGCTCTGGGGGGCCCAGACCCAGCAAGCCCTTGGAGCGTGGCGAGAAGCCCTGGGCCAGCACCAAGAGGCCCAACAGCAAGCAGAAGGGAGAGCCGGGGCCCGAGCCCACGTGGCCCTGCACTGGACCCCATGGGTGCACGAGGCCCGCCTTGCCCCCACCAGCCCAGCCCCTGCTGCCCAGACGCTGAGTGCCTGGTGAGTACCCAGGGCCCGACAGCAGCCCCGCATGGTTCTTTGAGCTGGGCTTGGAGATGGGAGCCTTAGCAGGGGTTGGCCATGACATGGAGATGGCCCCCTGGCTACCGCAGCTAGTCCTGGGGCCAAGCCCCAGCTCTGCCACCGTCTGGCCGTGTGGCCCTCCCTGGAGAGTTCAGTGCCGCCCTGCAGGGTGGCCCCATGTCTGCTGAGCCCTCAGAGTGCGGCGGGCCGGCCCTCCTGTGAGAGAGAGGACGCAGAATGTGCCTGGCAGGACTTTCGCCTGTCCCCGTTGTGGGGCACCCTGCCCCTTTGCAGGCTGCCCAGCAGACCTGTTTAATCTGACTCTCCAGAAGGGAGGGCGGGGTGGCGCTTTGCCTGGGGAGGGCTCCCTGCAGGGCTGGCCACGGAGTCCTGGCCCTCCTGCTCTCCTTCAGGGTCCCGGAGGCCCTGGCCCAGTCAGCAACCCACAGTCACATCCAGCGAGCGGCCACCACCCGGTTCCTGCAGGCTGGGCTCGGGGGCCTCCTGCAGACCCACTGGGCCCAGTGGCGGACTGCACTGTTCAGAGCAAGGCTGGAGCGGAGGGCCCGGGCTCAGGAAGCTGAGCGAAGGCTCTGGCCCGGGAGCTTCCCGCTGCTGCTGGACACCCCAGACCCTTGGATGCAGGTGAGGTGGGGCCCGGCTATAGTGGGAGGTCCAAAAATGGCTCTTCAAACTACCGGCTGTAGAGGCGGCTGGTTTCCATCCCATCCATGGTGGCAGTATGGCTAACCATTTCCCCAGGGGCCCCTCCCCCGCCCTCCGCTCTGGCCAGACCACTGTGGGCTACTTCCAGGCATGGACTGAGTTCCTGGGGGTCTGGCGCCAGAGCTCATGGTGGGGGCTCAGGGTACCCGGGAGACAGACATGTCCCTTTATTATATACCAAGTACTTAGCATGGTGCTGTCTAGGACAAGACAGAGACAGGGGCAATTAACAGCATTTTACTGGAAAAATAAAATATGCTCATTACAGGAAAGTCAGAGAATATAAATGAACCCCAAGTTTCTTCACTTTCTCTGCCCAGAGGTAGCTGTGACTGCCTGGCTAGACCTGAAGCTGTCAGTCACCAGACACCACCGGTGGTGCTAAGAGGTCGATGGCCTAGCAGGGGGGCACAAAAAACGGCCCCTGCACAGCAGGCCGGGGACCGTCACTGAGGGACACGGCCCCAGAGCCACCAGCAGGGGCAGTAGTGCTCAGGTCAAAGGGCACTGTCAGGAATCCTGCTGCAGAACGCCAAGAAAAAAGTGTGTTTTCTCGGCTGGAACTCAAAGAGCCGACTGCAGAATCCACACGTGGGGCTGCACCAACGGCGGCGGCTGGGGTCCCAGGGTATTCTAATTCTAGGTGCGTTCTAGGGCAGTTCTTTCCCAGCATTCTGTTCCTGCCAGCAAGGCAGGTGATGGGGAAACTGAGGCGCACAGACAAGCAGCCGCTCTCACAGGCACGCCCACGCCCAGGCAGCCCTCACCTGCCGCACGGGTGGGTGCCAGCCAGCCTGCAGTAGCGCTGAGTGCCCCTGGTCTCAGGCAAGCCTTCAGCCCGGTACTGCTCGGGGCCAGCACATGGTGCGGCAGGTGTGCCGCAGTGGGAACACCCACAGTCCACACAGGTGCCTGGCTCTAGTCCTGGTTTCTGATGCAGCTGCCTAATGTGCCTGGGAGGCACTAAATGATGGCCCAAGTGGTTGGTTGGGTTCCTGCCACCCATGGGGGACACCAGCTGGAGTCCCCAGCTCTGCTTCGGCCTGGCCCAGTCCTGGCTATTCTGAGCCCTAGGGGAGTGAACCAGATGGAATCTCTGTCACTCCTTCAAATAAAAACCTGGACCATTTTTCTTTTTCTAAAAGCTAACGTGGGAAGAGTAAGACCCACCTTCCAGGGCTGTGCCTGGCACAGGTGGCTCTGAGCGGTCTCTCACTGGCCCACCTCTCTGCAGGGATGTTTTCAGCCTTGTGGCAGGTCAGCCGAAGGGAGAGGCAGTGGCACCCTGCTGGCCACACTGCTCTTGGGCACCCTCTGGGCAGTGCGACCCGCCCCATCCGTGCATACACAAGGAGGCGGCCCGCACGGCTGGGCGCAGGTCAGAAAGCGTCCCACCCAGTCATCTGTCCTGCCAGGCCCACTGCGCTCAGCTTTTCCTCTCTGGCTTTTCCCTCAGACCCTCAGCAGCTGGACACCAGCCGCAGGACCCACAGTGTTACCTGGGCCAACACATCAGCACAGCCACGGTGGACGGACGCCGCCAGGGAAGATGGCCTGGGTGCAGAGTAAGGCGACCCGGCCTGGGGACAGAGGGCAGGACCATGGTGTCAGCAGCCCTCGGAGCCTGGGATCATTTTCTGCGTGCTCACCGTTCTCCCAACCCCCTCCCCCTGACCACTCTGAGACGTTTCTCCTGCCTTGCTCATTCTTTCTGGGTCAGGGTTGGCTGGCACCTGGCGAAATGCAGCAGCAGGAGGCGGCACACCAGGCTTAGCACCATAGCTCTGTGGGCCCCTTCGCTACTCACCATGAAGCAGGAGCCAAGCTCCTCCTGACCTATGAGGGAGCCTCCTGACTCGACTTCCCTTTCCAGTCTGCCCTGCCTTCCAGCTCTGGCTGCCGTGGCCTGGAGACGGCAGCTCGGCCCCAGGCCTGTCCCCTACAGGACCAGGAGGGCCCTGGAGCCCTGAGACCAGAGCCCTCCAAGGGGAGGACGGGAACAACGGAAGGGATCCCAGGAGGCTGAGGTAAGGGCACATGCGTGTGAGAGGAAGCTGCATGGGATTGGTGAGGGGCTCGCGGGAGCTGAGCCCAGAGCTGGGCCCTCTGCCAGCCAGGGCCCACTCCTGCAGGAGCCTGGATGAGCAGGCCCAGGTCCGTGGCCTCAAAGGGGAGAGGACACGCTCTGCCGACAGGGGGCAGCACATTCAGCGCTGGCGGTCTGAAGCCCTGCTTAGCCAGTTCCAGGCTTCCCGGAAGGCCAGGTGCCTGGCAGCTGCGTGGCAGCGCTGGGTGGATGTCCAAGGGGCAGAGCAGCTGGGGCGGACCCTGGTGAGTGGACACAGCCCCTGCTGACCCACACTGAGTGAGGTCCTGGGGCCCATCCCCATCATCCCACCCTCAACCCGAACCCCTAGTGCTTCTCATGTAGGGTCCCGGGGGAGGCCCGGGAATCGGCATTCACACACTTCTCACATCCCTCCCACCCTGTGCCAGAGCCGTGGGAGGAGGCAGCAGGGGCAGAAGCCTCTCCGCCACCTGTTCCCACAGCTTCGGCAGTGGCACCTGGCATGGGCCTGGCGGACATGGCGGCATCGGGTCCTGCGGCTGCGCGTGGCTCGGCGGCTACAGCAGCAGGAAGACAGCGGAGTCCTTTCCCGGGTACTGGGGGGGCACCCCCCCCTGCACCTGCCCTTCCCACACCAGTGCCACCTCTGGACAGTGCTGAGCTGGGGGGGTCTCTGCTTGCCACCCCCAGTCTGGAACAAGGCTGGGCCGGGGGGCACAGAGCTCGCTCTCCCACCAGCCTGAAGTAGGACCTGGATCCCAAGCACCTGCCCCCTCCGTCAGTCCCTGCTCGGGAGCGCAGCCTCCCAGACACGGCCAGACCTCCCTGAGCCTCTGCACTTGGCCTGAGACACCCAGCCCTTCCTCTCCCATCCCTGACGCCAGGCCTTGGAGAAGTGGCACCAGCACCTGGCAGCTGGCCCCAAGGGGAGGAGCCCCCAGCAGCCCAAAGGCCCTGAGCAGGTGAGAAGCTGCCCAGCTTCGGGGACAGCAGGCTTGAGGCCGAGCACAGGGCCCAGTCACAGCTGCGGCTTGTTCCCACGGAATCAAAGCAGAACCCAGCGAGTCTTCCCAGGGAAGGAGCCGCGTCCCGCACGTCAGGGTGCAGGGGTGACACAGGAAACAGCTCCAGGAGCTCGAAATGAAAATAAAAGACCCCAAGTCCTCACTGCTTCTCTTGCTGTCTCGGCCACAGCCAGCTGGGTCTGAAACAGAAGAGGAGATTCTGCCGCTGCTCCTGCACCCCTCCCTGCACCCCACGCCTGCTGCGGTGCGGGCCTCTTTCTGGGGAAGCCAGCCATGATCAGCCGCAGGCCAGGACGGGGACACGGAGCGGCCCACCTGCACCTGCCAGTCACTGCCCCAGGCGGGCAGCAGGAGAGGGTTGACTCCCGGGGCGAGTGCCAGGCAGACAGGCTGGGCAGAGGGCTGAGCGGCGGGAGGAGCTGGGCCTACATACAAAGCCAGCCGGCAGGCAGGACTACAGAGTCTCGGTCAAAGCTGGGGGTCCGCCCGGGGAAGCTCATTCTGACAGTTAATGGGCAGGTGTAACCAACCCTCCACGACCAGGGAGAAAGGCAAGGCCAAGGGCCCCGCCAAGCAGGGAGTCAGATGACCTTTAACCGTGAAAGGACACTCCTTCCCTCGAGCCATCAGAATACAGATTTCAAACAGCAGCACTGAAGAAAGACCTGTGTACCTGAGCCCTCAGGTACACAGGTTGTGGGAAGTGCTGGCGCCAGCAGGGGCCGGTGCCTCGGCCAGCAGACATGGGCAGGGCAGCCACGTGTCCTCCCACGAGTCGTGAGGGCCCAGTGGCCATCCCCCCAGGGATGGAAGGGTGCAGCACCTTCGCTTGGCCATATCTCTGCCCGTTCCACACACGCCCCTAAGTACAGATTCGCCAGGAGTCCAGGCTGGCGCCCCGAGGCTGCCCTGAGGTGAGGGTTCATTTGGCAACCAGTCTCCCCCTTCCCAGGGAGGGGGTGCTGCTGCCCACTGCTGTTCTCTGCAGGACGGAGGAGCTCCCCACTGAAGGGAGCAGAGAGCACCAGGCTCCCGTGGGGCAGACTCTGGTCCGGCCAGAGCCTGGTCTAGCTGCCATCGTGTGGGGGAGTGGAGGCGAGGGTTCTGGACGGTGAGGGCAACTGGGTCTAGGAGGGAGGAGGGTGGGGTATGGGCGGCCCCAGCGGAGGACGGCAGGAGCTGAGTCACGGGGCCTCCGTCTCTGCCTCCTTCCGAGCTGGCCTGCCCAGGAGCTCAAAGGTGTCTTCCAGCACCTGCCACAGGCAGTTGTCCAGCGGGAACTCATTGTCCACCAGGTTGACCAGGAAGTAGTTGTCGTGGATGTACTGGATGATCATGCGGGACGGGGACTCCTCCTCATACAGCTTGCCCCACTGCTCAATCCACAGAGCGAAGGCCTCATCCTACACACACGCGTGTGCACACACAGAGATGGCTGTCAGGGCCAGCCTCCGGTCAGGGCTCCCCGGCCTCCTGCCGCTGCCCAACAGGGTACTTCTTCCAGGCAAACAAGGCCCAGGGTCAGCGCAACCCCTGCCCCCTCCCAGCCCGAAATAAACACCATGCAGAAACACGGCCCCTGGGGAGTCGGCGTCCGGGGTGGGCTTGAAGGCCAAGTCTGCTGCCCTGGGACTCGGAAACACTGCCCTGCAGCCGGCTCACCGCCAGTTCCTTTACCTTCCAGAACATGAAGCTGACGGGGTCCACCACCGTGGGCTGGATGATCTCTCGCCCCGGGAAAATGCCCCAGGTGACTGCATTGGGTTGCAGCTCAGGGGCGTTGGTGATGTTCTCACCCTGTGGGGAGGGGGGTGAGGTCGGAGCAGGCCTGGGGCAAAGACAGTTACAGCCCTGTCACTGCCCAGAGGGCCACAGCTCGCGGAGACCCAGGCCTCTGACCGCCCTGGCAGGCCAGCGTCCGTGGACGGCACTGCTCTGCAGCCCTGAGAGGCCGACCCGTGTGTCTGTGTTCCTCACTCTGCTCCCATCAGCCTCCACGTCCCACTGACTCACCTGCTCTCTAACCTGCGCCTTCCCGTCCACAGGGACGCTTCCGCGTGCCTCTGAGCCGTCAGCTGGCCACTGTGACCGAATGCGATCGGCCAGGAGCAGGACTGCTGCTGAGCAGGCTCCCCCAGCCTTTAGGGAAGCCTCGAATTCCGGCCAAGACCATGAGGCCCTCGGGGTCTGGCCCCTCAGCGACACTTCTGCCTCCTCTTCCCCACTCTTGTTTCCCCAGAGAGGGCAGCCAGATGCCTCTGCCCACTCTGCCCCGCCCCTGGGACGTCCTGCTCCCCACTGGCCAACTCTCTGTCCTCAAAGATTCAAACCATATACGACCCCTCCCAGGACCCTCCCCTGGCCTTCCAGGCTGGGCGTCCCTCCTCTGGATCCCACAGTAGCCTATAATGAACTTGATTTTCCAGTTCACACTGACTTGTCCTTGTCTGTTTCTCTGCCCCACTGGGCTGGGAGCTGGGAGCAGGGGCCTGGCTTTATCTGCATCTCCTTGTCTGGCACAGTGTGTCTGGCCTGGGCTAGGAGGCTGGGGACTGCTGACGGAGTCAATGTGGGTGTGCCAGGCCCCAGCACTCGGGCCCTGCTAAGTGCCTCCTGCACCCGGGGCTGGCCTACCTTCACGTCGACAATGTGGTAATTGACCCGGAGCTCATAGTTCTTCAGCACCTGCAGGAGTGCCTCCACAGTCTCGCGGGAAGTGAAGAACTCCAGGTAGGCCTGCGGGAGACATCAAGCCGGGTCCCTGTCACACCCTCCGCATGTGCAGCCACTGTGCTCTGTAGGGACCCTGTGGGGGCAGCCAGTTCGACCAGCTAAGGCGTGTGCGAGGCCTGGGAGATGACAGCGACACTGCCATCTTGTCCAGCACCAGCATCTCTGAGGAATTAAACTGGGCTTATTTAAATCCATTTGCTAGAATGCTCAGAATCCTGCCAGACAGACACTTTATCCCCAGATGAGGAAATGAGGTTCGGGAAGTTGGGCAAGGCGGCCCCACTGCTGGGAACCAGCCGAGCAGGTACTGAAACCCAGGTCTCCAGAGCCAGGGGCTTCGGTTCTGCACCCAGGGCTGCAGGAGGAAGGCTCTGCAGGAGCAGCAGCTCCCGGGCAGCAAACACATCCTGTGTCCTTCTGTGAGCCGAGCACTGGACACGCCCCGTCACGTTCCACCCTGGAACAGGGGACGCATGGACGCACCCCGTCACATTCCACCCCAGAACAGGGAACGCATGGACGTGCCCCATCACATCCACCCTGGAACAGGGGATGTGTGGACGCGCCCCGTCACGTCCCGCCCCTGGAACGGGGACGCATGGACGCGCCCCACCACGTCCACCCCTGGAACAGGGGATGTGTAGACGCGCCCCGTCACGTCCCGCCCCTGGAACAGGGGACACATGGAAGTGCCCCGTCACGTCCACCCCGGAACAGGGGATGTGTGGATGTGCCCCATCACGTCCACCCCTGGAACAGGGGACACATGGACGTGCCCCGTCACGTCCACCCCGGAACAGGGGACGCGTGGACGTGCCCCATCACGTCCACCCCTGGAACAGGGGATGTGTAGACGCGCCCCGTCACGTCCCGCCCCTGGAACAGGGGACACATGGACGCGCCCCGTCACGTCCACCCCGGAACAGGGGATGTGTGGATGTGCCCCATCACGTCCACCCCTGGAACAGGGGACGCATGGACACGCCCCGTCATGTCCACCCCTGGAACGGGGACACATGGACGTGCCCCACCACGTCCACCCCTGGAACAGGGGATGTGTGGACACGCCCCGTCACGTCCCGCCCCTGGAACAGGGGATGCGTGGACGCGCCCCATCACATCCACCCCTGGAACAGGGACGCGTGGACATGCCCCGCCATGTTCACCCCTAGAACAGGGACGCGTGGACGTGCCCTGTCACGTCCCACCCCTGGAACGGGAGACGCGTGGAGTGGAAGCTGCTCCATCCCATCTCAGGGGCCACCCCGTGCGTGCCGCACCTTCTGGAAGACGTAGCCCCCGCCCGGGCCCCAGCCCACGACGGGGTCTGACGACGGCTTCCCGTTGATGTTGGGCTGCGAGTTGATGGTGAGGATGCCCTGGCGGTTGACTCGCAGCAGCTCCTCCTTCATGAGGCTCGTCTCGGCCGCCAAGGGCTCGTCGTTCCAGGGCAGGCACGTCACCTGGAGACGGGATGGGGGCTGGGCAACGGTGGGGGCCGGGCCTGGGTCCCTTCCACAGACCACCCTCCTCGCTGCGCTGAGCTGCCATGTCACAGCGTGGAGAGGCAGCCGGCCAAGGCGGGGGCGTCATAGCCCCTCAGTCTGGCCCAGGGCAGGAGTCGGGCGGAGGGAGCACCCAGGGTCGCCCTGCACCACTTTGTAGGCTGGAGTCGGGCGGAGGGAGCACCCAGGGCCGCCCGGTAGCACTCACTTTGTAGCCCTGCTGGTTCGCCTCTCCCGAGAGGTAGCGAACAAAGACTTCGAAGACGCTTTCCTCGCTGGTCAGCTCCTCGCCCCACATCTGCAGCAGCTCCTCCCTGGGGCACTTGCTCTTCAGGTAGAAGAGGTAGTAGTCCTTCAGCTCCCCGAAGGCTGGGGAGGAGGAGTTGCCCCTGCAGGGGAGGGGCGTGACTGTGAGCCCCTGACAGAGGGCAGTCACCAGCACATGCCCAGACGCCTCCCAGGGCTCCCCCACAAAGCGGGAGAACTCCCACTGCCCCTCCCCCCAAGCCCAGGACCCGCTGGGGAGGAATCTGTCGGCAAGGAGGCTGCGGGCCCTCACCAGCGGCCATTGGGGAACTCGTCCCACTCCTGGGTGCGGTAGATGTAACTCTTGGGTCTGGAGGCCCAGAAGATGGGACGCACGTCTTCCTCCCGGCGCTTGGGATGGGCACTGACAGCCCAGGGCAGAGGGCGCCTGCGTGGGAATGTGACAAAGGACAAGGGATTGGCTGGAGCGAGGAGGAAGACACCCACTGCCACCGCAGGGACCACTCTTTCTGCAGGGGACCCCCACGCTGCCCTCACCTGGGATCCTCAGTCCACAGGCCCAGGCGCTTCAGCACCTCTGTCGTGGCCACCTCCCGGTTGAGGGTGTAGAAGTGGAGGCCTGGCACCAAGCCACTGGCCAGAAGCTCCTGGCACAGACTCACGGCCAGCTCGATGCCATAGTTGCGGATGGCGGCGTCGTTGTCTTTGATCGGTTCAATCACATCTTTGATCTCCTGCGGCACCTCCAGCCTGGACAGCTTCACGAGCTGCCGGAGGGAGTGGTAGCCCTGCCCAAGACACGGGGGTGCTGTGGGTGCCCTCCAGCCACCTCCTGCTTTGCTGCCAGTCTCCTGCCACGTCGTGCAGCCTGGCCCAGGACACTAGGAGCGCACTGCAGGAGTCCCCTGGGGCTTGTCTCGCTTTCTCTGCTCTCTGCAGAGCACAGCAGCTGCCCACGGCATTCCTGCCATCGGCCCAGGTCACCCCTTCAGTGATAACGCGGTGGCCACCTAACCCAGCTGTTCCCGGTCTCACCGACCACCACAATCACCTGCCGAGCCCAGGAAGCACCATGCAGATCCCAGGGCCACTGCAGATTTGCTGACTCAGAACTTCTGGGGGTGGGACCTGGAAATCCAGCTTTGGAAGAAGCTGATCAAGCGGTTCTGATGGCAACCAAGTTTGAGAAACTTGAGTTGACCCAAACTTCTGAGTCCCAATCCCTTCTAGAAGCTTGTGGGCAGGTGAGAGACCAGAGGCAGCCCGAGCGGCGTGAAGACGGCGCCGGGCAAGGGCTGGGGGCCAACAGCAAGGTTGAGAGGAGCGCAGTGTGAGCTCAGGGCGGGCTGTGCGCGAGTCTGCGGGCCGGCCCGGGACCCTCACCTGGATGGGAAAGATCCCAGGCAGGATGGGGCAGGTGATGCCCATCTCGGTGCAAGCGTTCACAAAGCTGAAAAAGGTGTCAGCCGCAAAGAAGAGCTGGGTGATGATGAAGTCGGCCCCCGCAGACACCTTCTCCTTCAGGTGCTTCAGGTCGGCCTCGAGGCTCTCGGCGTCCGGGTGGCCTTTGGGGTAGCCTGCCGAGAGTGAGGCAGAAACCAGCGGGTGGGCCGAGTCCTCCGTCTCAGCAGCTCGGCCTCACCCTGTCCCGCGGCACACCTGGGACAGAGCTGGACCGGTGAGTGACCGCTCTCAGGACCCCAGAGTGGGGTGGGGGGCAGACGGCTCCAAATGCCGACCCCGTCCCACCTCTCCCAGCCAGGCCGATCGGGCCTGCACTGTGTGGCCGCAGAAACGTGAAAATGCCACCTTCAGCACCAGCTTGATGCTAGGCACTGGGTTACACTATTTTTAACAGCAGTACGATCCCTCGGGGGCAAGACAGTGAGACGTCAGGAGCTAAACCAGTCGCAGGCAGAAGACTGATGGAAACAGAGAAGGGGAACCCAGTAACTACTTTCAAAAGCCCAAGGCCTGCCGTGGGGAACTCTGACCCTCGCCAGCTTCCCTGTTAGTCTGTGTTGCTGCTCCGGCAGCCTGCAGCCGTTTCGGCCCCAGTGTGTTCTGGGTGTCTGAACACACTGGGGCCGCGGGATACCCACGAGTTAGGGACGGGCTGCCAGAACTGCCTGGGGAGTGAGACCAGATGTTCTCCCTGCTGGCTCTGTGAACTTGAGGACTTCTCTGGAACTAACCAGCGCAGCAGCCTTGCTTGGCCAGGAAGCAGGAAGACCACAGACCTTGATGAGACACGGGGTGGGAGCTGGCTTCCTCGCAGACCGGAGGCTGCGCTGTGGGAAAGCCAGCTGCCTGGCTGTGACAAGGCGGTTTTGTTCACAAGAAACCCAGAGTCATCAAAAACGGGCACAAAACGATCGCCTCAAGGAGTAGGGAGCAGACCAGCATCCGGATCTCACACTCCCGGTAATACAACTTTTTCCAGAGGAAATCCATGAACTCTGGAGTCTAAAATCTAAGTATCACCAAACAAATCTAGCATCTGATTACATCCAGACTCTGCTCAGCTTGCTACGGCCATTTTTTATTTTGTTTTGTTTTTTAATCACCACCAGCTTGGTGCTCTCTAATCCACTGATTTTTTTTTTTAAAGATTTATCTATTTGGGCCGGTGCCGTGGCTCACTTGGCTAATCCTCTGCCTGCGGCGCTGGAATCTCATATGGGCCCCGGGTTCTAGTCCCCGTTGCTCCTCTTCCAGTCCAGCTCTCTGCTGTGGCCCAGGAGGGCAGTGGAGGATGGCCCAGGTGCTTGGGTGCCTGAACCCGTGTGGGAGACCAGGAGAAGGCACCTGGCTCCTGGCTTTGGATCGGCGTAGCTCCAGCCGTAGCGGCCATTTGGGGGGTGAACCAATGGAAGGAAGACCTTTCTTTCTGTCTCTCCCTCTCACTGTCTGTAACTCTACCTGTCAAATAAATAAATAAAATAAAATAAAAGATTTATTTAATTATTTGAAAGGCAGAGTCACAGAGAGGCAGAGGTGGCGACGGCAGAAGGGGTAGGTAGGTCCTCCGTCTATTGGTTCACTCCCCAAATGGCCCCATCGGCAGGAGGGGGGCCGATCCGAAGCCAGGAGCCAGGAGTTTCTTCCGGGTCTCCCACGCGGGTGCAGGGGCCAAAGAACCTGAGTCATCTACTGCTTTCCCTGGCCACAGCAGAAAACTGAATTGAAAGTGGAGCAGCTGGGACTCTAATCGGTGCCCACACAGGATGCCGGCACTGCAGGCGGCAGCTTTACCTGCTACGCCACAGCGCCAGCCCCGAGTCCACTGATCTTTATGATAAGCAAAACAAAAGCTATCCAGCAAGAATTGGCTGACAGTTTTGCTACTTTCCACTGGGGTCAGTTAACACTCACTCCTGTCGCACAGCCCCCAGTTAACAATGCATCGTGACCAACAAGCACACTGCGGGCTGACCCTTAGAAATGCCCATTCCGTTCCTAACTCCTGACCAGTGCTCCCCAGCTGAAGCCACCTAAGCAGCACTGCTTGCAAAGACTGGACACGTACTTGGGGGCCTGGAGAAGAGCCCATGGTGACAATAAGTTTCTTGAAACAATTATTTTTTAATAATAATGCAGATCACTTGAAATGCTATTGTATAACACAGTTATGTTTAATACAAAAATGACTTCTCTTGGGGCTGGTGTTATGACACAGCGCATTAGGCCACTGCCATATGCCCGTCAGTTCAAGCCCTGGCTGCCATACTTCCAATCGCGCTCTCTGCTAACGTGCCTGGGAAAGCAGTGGAGGGTGGTCCAAATGCTCGGGCCTCTGTAACCACGTGGGAAACCTGGAAGAAGCACTTGGCTCCTGGCCTGGCCTGTCCCAGCCCTGGCCACTGTAGCCACCTGGAGAGTGAACCAGCAGATGGAAGCTCTCTCTCTCCCTGTCTCTTCTCTCCCTGTAACCCTGCCTTTCAAACCAATAAATCTTTTTTTAAAAAATATGATTTCCCTCAAAATATTGGTGAAAAGCTGTCATTCCAAGATGTGCCCCGTAGATCCAGACTTCTATGTCCCTGGCACACTCTGCCTCACTGGACCTGGCCCCGCCTGGAAGCTGAGAGCCCAACCTCAGAGCGGGGGTAGGAGCGAAGGTCACCCCCGCCTTCTGTCAGGGGAACCTGACCGGTCTCCCGGCTGCAGCCGACAGAATGGACTCGAGCCAACCTGATTTCGTCTCCCAGGAACTTGGGACTGACCTGAGACCTGACAACCAGCCTGGGCGACTGGTGGGGCCAACACACGTGCACCCTGGAGCAGGGCACGTGTGTGGAAAAGGGTCTCCTGGAGGAAGCAGGGGGCAGACTGACAGGAAGCAGAGACGGAGGGCCCCTGGCCCCAGAGAGGATGACTGGTTCCACGGCGCAGCGCTGTCTGATGCCAGTTTCGGACCTTGAGTTCTGAGGGTCCCTGTGCCCTGGAGTCCTCTCAGTTAAAAGCCTCTTTTCTTTGAAACAGGGCTGAGAGCAGAAAGGAGCAGGCACACAGAGGACAGGACCTCGGGGTCGGGATGACAGCGAGGACAGTATCTACTTCACCCTGCACGTCCCTCATCCAGCCTGGGCTCGGCCCGCAGGGGCCCTCCATCTCCACGTCCTGGGCCCCCAAGCATCTCGTCCCTTCCCTCCGTCCCCACCCACCCGGACCCTCAGCCACTTACCTGCCACACAGATGTCAAAGTAGTCCCCAAACTCGCTCCGGATGTGCTTCACCAAGTCTACGGCGTAGTTGAAACCTCCTTCCTCCTCTTCCCACTGGTCCCCTACGGGGTCTGCAGGGTTGGCGGAGGTCGTGGTTACTGATTGATCACTAGTGTATTAGTTATGCGTTATTTCCTTTTTAACTACAGGCGTCCCTTGATATCCATTCCCAGGTGCATTAACAGGGAGCTGCATCAGAAGTGGAACAGCCAGGACTCAAACTGGCGCCCATGTGGGATGCCGGCACCGCAGGCAGGGGCTTTACCCACTGTGCCAACCTTCTTGTCACCTCTGCCTACACCTGCACCCAGAGCTGTGAGCTCCTGGAAGGCAGGGACTTCCTCTAAGTTCAGTTTGGATCTCTTCTTTCTAGGATAACACGTGGTACACAGTGGGAGGCGAGAAAGCCGCCCACCTGTCAAATGTGCACCAAACGCCAACTCTGGGTGGGTGGGTGCTACCAGGGCCCAGGAGCCAGCTGCCACTCTTCACTGAGCCAGGGGATTGCAGGTTCCTTCACTACCTGCACCTACATGGGTCCAGGCACCCCCTCCCGTCCCCCGGCCCCCTAGAAGGTCTTCCCTCATCTCATGAGACGTGGGCTTGTGACGGTGAGCACGAGGCCCCCAGAGTCCACACTCAAGGTCCCTCTTCCCACTCTCGGCGGCCTAACAAAAGCAGGAACCAGAGGCGACCAGCTGCTCTCACTCCTGGACAAAGGCCAGAGCTGCACCCTGTGACCGGGCCAAGTGCAAGGCACAGCCAGTGATCAATGAGTTTGCAGCCAGGGCTGGGCGTGACTGGACACTGGCTGAACTCCTCCAGCGAGGCCAAGGCGGTGGAAGTGGCAGCTCCACCTGAGCCCGGGGGAGACTCACTGCCCACACTGCCCACACTGCTGCTGGCGCGGTGGCCCCAGAGGGATGCAGAGAAAGGACTGGTCCTGTCCTGGGCCAGGGGAGGCCGTCGGGAAACAACAGCACAGAGCGGGGCGTGCCGGCCACACCTCCTCGCAGCGCCAGGATGTTCTTAAGGCCCAGCTGCTTGGCCTTGTGCAGATGGGCCGTGAGGTCCTCCCGCCGCTGCCGGCAGCAGGTCATGTGCAGCATGGTCTCCAGGCCGCAGTAGTTGACGGCGGTGCTGGCGATCATCATGGAGGAGGTCTCCTTGTCTGAACCGGGGTCGCCTGCTGGGTGCCAGGTCACGTCTACGAACAGGGGGCCGCCGGCCGCCATCCGGTCAAACCTGCGACGGACGTCTTTCTGAAGAGGGCTTCCGGGGGGAGTGCCACCCTCCGCCACCCGCTCTGGGGCCCGGGGGCTGGAGAGCAGCATGCAAGCTGGAGCCCGAGCAAGCCGCGCGTCTGCTGGCTTTGCTCCGTCCGGACCGTGTGAGCCTGAGCAAACTGCTCCAGCTCTCCGAGCCTCCGCCTCGCTTACAAGCCGTGCCCACGCCACCACGATGCCATGGGAATGCAGGAGAGGCGGCCCCACAGCACCCAGAGCAGTCTGGAGTGCAGAGCGGGCTCTCTGTCTCACTGGGGTTACTGTGACGGCACGGACAACACGCAACAGGGCCTCCGGGTACGGCAGCAGCGCATCAGACCCTCAGCGCATCCGCACATCCATCATTTTGGGTGAGCGGAGACGTTTCCAGGGGCGAAAGGGACGGGAACTTGGTCACAGGTGAGCGGAATGCTCGGAGTGACAACCAGCGCCTCATTCGAAGAACAGGAAACCAGGGTCGCCGGACACAAGGCTCCTCCTCGCCGCAACCCCGGCCAAGTTCCTGAACCAGACCCAAACCCTGGTGCCCAGGAGCACCCGTCTAACGATCTACCTTTTGCCTTTAAACTTCCAAACCTCGGGCGTGTCACACAAGAATGCAAATGGGAAAAGTCACAAACTTCGAGAAGGGAGCTGCACTTCATCAGCGCTAACGTAATGCACTTGGCACTTCTAGATTTCCAGACGCAGTCCAGATTCCTAACTGGCTGAAAACATTCTCTAAATCAGCTTTGTGACTTCCCACACCGTACTCAGGATCCAGCCCCCAAGAGCTGCCAAAGAATGTGGTTTGTAAGAATCAACATTTTTTTTTTAACCCATTAAAGAGTGTCTTAAAGATTCTGACGCCCGGAGGGGCTTTTCCCAACAACTGAGCAAGCAGATCAAATGTCTCTGCTCTCTTCCACCCCCTCAGCCGCATTTTCCTTCCAGGTTAAAGTGCAGCCCTGCTGCAGGGCTGCCAGTTCAGTCCCCCCGCAGCCCCCCAAGCCCCTTCTTAACCTTAAAGCAACCTACCTGGAGATGAGATTGACAGCTCCCTGCGCGGTCCGCGGCGGGAAGAACTCGAGGGAGAACCACTTGTCCCCCGATTCCATCCTGCGCCGCATCTTCTCCCGCAGTTTCTCGTGCCGCTCAGGGTCCAGGCCCGGCGTGGAACACCTCGAACTATTTTTGGAACTCTCGCTGCCACTGCTGCTGCCTTCGGAGCGGGGGTGGAGGCCGCCATTCCCCCGGGCCTCGTTCACCATGGCCGGGTTCCTGCTGCACGGGGTGAGGGCAGGGGGCATCAGAGGGCAGGCAGCCGAGTCCCAGGCACACTCAGATACCAAGAGGAAGGTGCAAGGCAGGGACGCTGTGCTTCCACGCAGGAAGGCCGGGGAGGGTCAGGCTGCCCCCGCCCCCGCCCGTGGCGCCACGCTCCACAGCTGCACCTCTGCGTTGCCTGGCTCTAGGCTCTGCCCTCCTGTGCGGCCTGGAGACCCCACCCGGCACTGAGACGAGCTTCCTCAGCCCCTGGGTCCTTGGTGACAGCTACCTGATGGATGGCGGCACAGAGAGCCTCCCTCGGGCCTGGGGGGCCCACAATCCTGGGGAGGGGCAGCGGTGCCCCGCTGGGAGGTCCATCTCTGTCAGCTCAGACCCAGAGCGGGAGAGGCCGGAGGAACCTTCCCCCCGCGGGTGTGTCCAACTGGGCGGAGCTGTGACAAAGGAAGTGCCCAGAGCTGGGGCCAACTCAGGGGGGCGGGGGCAAGGCTTCCAGGCTCCAGGGAGAGCTGAGGCTGTGCACGGAGGAGGGGGATGCGGGGGCCGGAGACCGCTGGGGTTGGCGGAGATGAGGCCAACAGCCGTTCAGGGTCACTGGATCCCTCTCCAAAGAAGGAATGGCCCGCTGGGCTGGCCACGCCTGGAACGTCTCCCGTTACTTGGAGCAGTCAGCGTGCAGGACACAAGGGCTAGGGCTCAACCAGAAGCCAGCTCTCTCCTTAGTTCACCTTTCTCCAAAAAGACAAGGCTGCGTTTTGAAGCGGCTGTGACCCGAGCTCGTTCAGAAAGGGCACGGCTTGACGTCCCACCCGGCACAAAGGCCGCTCCACACGTGCCTGCTCACCGGCTGTTCCTGCGCCACTCAAGTCCCCACGGACAGAGCCGGGCCCACAGGCAGATCGGCAAGGAAAGTAAGACAAAACAAACGAAACCAGCGCTCCTCTAGCACAACGGGCACACACAGGCGGGAATCGGTGCAGGGTGACAGGGAACAGAGGAACGGCCACTCTGGGGAATGCGCGCCGCGAAGCTGCGTCCCAGGTCCCCCGGGATCTGATGGAGTCCCCGGCCCCGGCCTCTGACACGCACAGTGCACAGAGCACACCAGGATCCGGGATTCCAGCACCCTCCCCTCCGAGGGAGGCGCATTTTGATTGAGAAAACCCCGGCTTCTTCGCGGGGAGCGGCGAGGGGGGCACGGCCAGAGCAGCCCCGGCTGGCCCCTGTCCTGCGGCCTCATTCACTGCCTGCGGGGACGAACCCTGGCCCCGGGAGGCTGCAGCCTGCAAACCACCGCTCTTTAGTTCATTGCATCCTTGTCCGTGCCGGCCACGAGTCACAGCTGCCAGCTCCCAAGGCACCCTGGGTTACCGGGTGGGCTAACGGGTTTGCCCCCCTCCCGGGCGCCAGTGCCCTGCGACAGGGCGCAGGGATCCTGCCCGAGGTCTCCTCGGGGCCTGGCGAGCCGACACGCACGGAGGTCGCCGTTTTCCGTGTACTAAGCACTGGCACCGCGCCAAGCACAGCGCTCTAAGCCCACCGCCCCCGGAGGGCTCCCCGCGGGCCCCACTTTCTTCTCCAGGGGCGCGCGGGGAGGCCCGCGCGCAAGGCTGGGGCCCCGGGAGCCGAGTCAGTGGGTCACGGGAGGGGGCGGGGCCGCAGGCCGGGGTGGCGGGGGCCACACTGAGACCTCCCCTCAGGCGTGAGGGGGCCGCTAGGGCCGCAGCCTTTAGGGGTACAGCCGGCATCTGGCAGGGCGGCGACCCCCACGGCGAGGGCCCGGGCCGGTGGTCTCCAGAGCTCCCCGCCCACAAGGAAGTCCCCGCCCCCCGGCTCTGTGGTGTCCCTCCTCGGCGAACCCACGCCTCACCATCACTCACCCGCCTGTCGCAGGCAACTCGAACGTTCGCCCGCCCTACGCCGCTGTGCGGCCGCGCGCGGAGGGGGCAGGGCGCGGGGGACGCGGCCCGGGTGTCAGGTTGCCAAGGGAGGCAGGACGAGGGAGGAAGTCACCCGTGTAGGAGACCGGAAGTCCCGCCTCCAACATGGCCGCGCCCAGAGGTCTCGGCGCGAGCCGGCCCTTTACCGTCATGTGACGCGGGCCCTCGCCCCACCCGTCTGCAGCCACTCCCTGTCTCCGTCCCCAAGCTCGAGAGTACCACGTGACCCTCCCGGGCCAGTCACGTGAGGCTCGGATCCTGGGTGGGAGGGGGTTGGCGGCGGGGTCCGGAGTGCAGTAAAGGAGGAAGATGGCGGGGTGCAGGGGGTCCTTGTGCTGCTGCTGCAGGTGGTGCTGCTGTTGCGGTGAACGTGAGACCCGCACCCCGGAGGAGCTGGTGAGGAGCGGGCGGGGCCGGGCTGGGGAGGGGGCGGTTGCTAAGGGATGGCGCGAGGCGTTGCCGGGGGTGGGGCCGGGCTGAACTGGGCCTGCAGGTGGCAGCGGGTGGGGCCTGGGGACAGCAGCCTGGGTGCCGGGTTCTGGAATCTTTTCTCATAGCCCGTCTAGAATCGGAGGGAGAATCCAGCCGCTCCCATCCGTATTCTGTATTTGCATCTGAAAAGGGTCCTGAGTGGAGGAAGCGTTCGCAGGATGAGCTCTTTAGTCAGGGCTGTGTGCTTCGCGTCCCCAGCCCTTTCCCACTTTGTCCCTGACCCTTTCTGGGTCACTGACAATCCAGCTTCCTTCTGCAAAGCAATCTGGGAAGACTTGAGTTGGTGTGTCCCCAGAATGGACATGTGCCTTCTGATTTCAGACCCGGCACGTTGTCAGATGGAGCCTGGATTTTTGTTTCTCCCTTTAGGTTGGCACAGGACCTCTGGAGGTGTTCATAAACAAGGGTGGTTATTTGGCAAATGCGTCCACAGAAGTGAAGAGCGCCCCACCCCCGTGGCGCCCTACCCCCATAAGCAAATTTTTTTAAGGTCCTGTGCCCACTTGTTAATGGCTCTAGCTTATTTAGAAACTCGCAACTGGCTTCAGAAAATGCCTCTGTCTGCTTCCACTCCTAACTGCTAAAAAGCTTTCCATCCTGTGGGTCCGTTTTTCTAGACCATCCTTGGAGAGACACAGGAGGAGGAGGATGAAATCCTTCCCAGGAAAGACTATGAGGTGAGTTTGAGATGCTGCCTTGCAGAAAGTGGCCTGGTTGCGTCCAGCCCCAGCACTGATTCCAACCAGAGATGCTCTTTGACCTTCTCTCCCAGGGAACAAGTGAGTGAGAGATAACTTCCCCCTGGGAAAGGGGCTGTTTGACAAGCCCTTCTCTTACCTTAAGCCCCAAACAGTGTCTGGTGTCTTTCTGCTTTTATAGATCTGTGGCACCTTAACCTGGCTACAATATGTGTTTGCCATTAAGGGGTGTGTTTTTGCAAACAATAGACCACCAGGGTCAAAGCTGGTGACAGTGTGTGCTCACAGCAGGTGTGTGGCTGAAACAGGATGCTGTCTCTTTTGAGAGAGCTTAACAGTTTCAGATGATTGCTTCCTGCCCAGGCAACTTGTCTCTGAAATATTCTCAACTGGAGTTCTAGTCTTAGATATGTTTAGAGAGTCTTGTATCTTTATTTTTTATTTTTATGGTTTTTAAAGATTTACTTACTCAAAAGACAGAGCGAAAGAGAAAGGAAGAGAGAGAGAGAGAGAGAGATCTTCCACCCACTGGCTCATTCCCCAGATTGCTGCAACCAGGAGCCTGGCACTCCATCCAGGTCTCCCATGTGGGTGGCAGGGGCCCGAGGACTTGAGCCATCTTCTGCTTTTCCAGGTGCATTAGGAGGAAGCTGGATCAGAAGCAGAGCAGCTGGGACTGGAACCAGCACTCTGACACAGAATTCTGGTGTCATAAGCAGTGGCTTAACCCACTGCCCCCCAGTGCCCGCCCTGAATCTGTGTGTCTGAATCTGTGTGTGTGCGCGTGTGCTTGTATTTTAAAATGTATCCATTTTATTGAAAGTCAGAGCTACACAGAGAGAATGAGAAATAAGAGAGAGAGGTCTTCCATTCATTGGTTCACTCCCCGGATGGCCACAACGGCCAGAGCTGGGCCGAGCTGAAGCCAGGAACCAGAAGCCTCCCTTGAGTCTCCCACGTGGGCCGCAGGGGCCCAAGCACTTGGGCCATCCTCCACTGCCTTTCCCACGTCACCAACAGGGAGCCAGATTGGAAGTGGAGCAGCCAGGACTGAACTGGTACCCACACGGGATGCTGGCATTGTAGCTAGTGGCCCAACCCACCCAGCTGCAAGGCCAGCCCCTGGCGTCTGTGTTTTTAATAAGGCCGGTGCTGCTGGGGTGGAGCTTAACGTCCAGGACTTTGTTACTTCAGCAGTTCACGGTGACTTTCTTATTCGTTTTGTTTTTTAGATTTGTTTATTTGAAAGGCGGAGTGACAGAGTAAAAGATGTAGAGAGAGATCCTTGATCCACTGGTTCAGTCTCCAAGTGACTGCAACGCCAGGGCTGGGCCTGGCCGGAGCCCAGAGCCAGGAGCCCCAGCCAGGTTTCCCACATGGGTGGCAGGGACCCACGCACTGGAGCCAGTGTCATAAGCAGCAGCTTAACCTGCTGTGCCACAGTGTTGGCCTCCATTTCTAATCAGTTTATGGTGACTTGAAAGGGCAAAACCAAGCCATGGTTGGGACAGAGAATCCTTAAGCTGTTTACAAAAAGAGGTAGAGAAAAACCTGTAGCCTTATTAAATGATGACCGTTAACATCTTACCGAATGCTCGCTCTTTCTCCACGTTAACCTGCCCACTTTTCTTAAGTAAAGTGTGCCATCTTAACCCGTTCTTCCCTCAACCCAGATAGCAATTTTGCATCACCCAATACTTATAAACAATGTTTTTTAAAATAAAAGAATGGTGTTTTATTGTGCTATGACTTACTTAATCTATGTTTGGTTCCTTCTGGCTTGTCTGTGATGAGCTCTCCATCTTTAATTGCTTCCTTGGGGTTAATTCCAAGAGGTGGAATTGATCGTGCATACGTTTGATGGCTTTTTTTTTTTTTAATATCATGTAGATTTTAAGAATTCAACATGTTAGGCTATACCCAGCATAATTTTCTTTTTAATATTTTTTAATTTACTATAGAATTTAGTGTAAACATTAGCATATATAGTATAGCATGGAATTTTTTGTAACTTCTATTATGGTGAATTTTTTTTAAAGAGTTTATTTATTTATTTGAGAGGTAGAGTTACAGACGGTGAGAGGGAGAGACAGAGAAAGGTCTTCCTTCCGTTGGTTTACTCCCCAGATGGCCCCAATGGCCGGAGCTGTGCCAATCCGAAGCCAGGAGCCAGGTGATTCTTCCTGGTCTCCCACATGGGTGTAGGGGCCTAAGCACTTGGGTCATCTTCCACTGCTTTTCCGAGGCCATAGCAGAGAGCTGGATTGGAAGAGGAGCAGCTGGGACTAGAACCAACACCCATATAGGATGCCGGCACTGCAGACAGAGGATTAACTTACTGCTCCACGGTGCCAGCCCCCTGGTGAATTTCAAATATACCGGAAATGGCCAGGACAATATATTGGGCCCCCCATGCTCTCATCACACCACTGAGGGAGTCACTTTGCTGGTCCCAGTCCTATTTCATCCATGCTGTCCTCCATCCTCTTCCCATGTTATTTTGAAGGAAATTCTATACATTGCTTTACCCATAAGTAATTCAATGTGCATCTCTAGAGGGTAGGAACTTTCTCTTTTTATCATTACACGATACTATTATCACATGTAAAAATTAATAATTTCTTGATATTAAATATCCAATGTTCAGGTTTTCCAATTTTAAATCTGTGTATTGATTTTATTTGAATCAGCTTCTACCTAAGTTCCTCACACTGTATTTTTTTAGTCTTAAGTTTCTGCTTCCATTTTTTTTTCCTTGTGATTTGTTTGACCACATAATTAGGACTCCGGAATCTTCTACCATGTGGATTTTGCCAGTTGCACCACCATGGTATGCTTCTCTGTTGGGACTGAACCAAAAAGCCCGGTATCCACTGGTGTATTTTCTCATTTTTAAAGTATTTATTTTCTTCTACATAGTTGGGAGCTTTCCAGAAAGTAATGTAAGTGCTCCACACTGGGTGGCCACCTTCTGTCACGGCCCTGTCCTGTCATCCTGGCCGTGGGACCGGGACTGAGGGCGCCTCGCAGCTGCCCCTCCCTCCTGGGACTTCACCACGCCGGCGCCCCTGACCCTGCCATTACCAAGACCCTGCTCTTCACTAAGCTGCACGGATATTTGTGGTGCGCTTGCCTTCAGCCAGTCTGTTTCAGGGATAAATGTCCTCTTTTTTTTTCTTTTTAAAAGATTTATGTGTTTATTTGAAAGGCAGAGTTCAGACAGAGGTAGAGACAGAGAGAGAGAGAGGTCTTCTATCCGCTGGTTCACTCCCCAAATGTTCACAACTGCCAGAGCTGGGCCAATCTGAAGCCAGGAAACAGGAGCTTCTTCCGGGTCTCCCACACAGGTGCAGGGGCCAAGGATTTGGGCCATCTTTCACTGCTTTCCCAGGCCATAGCAGAGAGCTGGATGGGAAGTGGAGCCGCTAAAACTCAAACCAACACCCATATGGGATGCTGCCACTGCAGGCGGTGGCTTTACCTGCTACACAACAGTGCTGGCCCCAACAAATTTATTTTTTAAGACTTATTTTATTTCTTTGAAAGGCAGAGTTAGAGCGAGAAAGAGATCTTTCACCTGTTGCTTTATTCCCCAAATGGCAGTACTGGCCAGGGTGGGGCCAGGCCAACACCAGGAAGCAGGAACTCCACCTGGGCGGCAGGGGCCCTGGTACTTGGACCGTCTTCGGTTGCTTTCCCAGGCATGTTAGCAGGGAGCTGAGTCCGCAGTGGAGCGGCAGAGACTTGAACTTGCGATCATATAGGACACAGCGTCGCAGGCGGTGGCCTAAACCCCTGTGCCTCTTCCCGCTGTTCCACACTGCCGACCTCATGGTGGTGTGATTTCTAAATGCCCTTTTTAGTAACTTTTAAAAAAATTTGTTCATCTCTTTTTTTTTAAGATTTATTTTATTTATTTGAAAGAGTTATGGAGAGAGAGAGGGAAAGATAGAAATCTTCCATCTGCTCATTCACTCCCCAGATGGCCATAATGGCCAGGGCTGGGCCAGTCTGAAGCCAGGAACCAGAAGCTTTATCCGGGTCTCCCACATGGGTGGCAGAGGCCCAGGGACTTGGGCCATCTGCTGCTGCTTTCTCAGGTGCCTTAGTAGAGAACTGGATTGCAAGCGGAGCAACTGGTTCTCTTACAGGATGTTGGCATTGCAGGTGGCGGCTTTACCTGTTGCGCCACAGTGCCAGCCTCTGGTAGCTTTATTGAGCTGTGATTCATATAGCATACAATTTATCCACTTGAATTGTAGGATTTAATGGCTTTTTAAGTATATTTGCAGAGTTCCGCAACCGTACCCCAGAAAGAAACCCAGTACCTATTAGCAGTCACTGGCCGTTCCCCTTGCCCTGACCCTAGACAACCGTTGACCTCTTTCTGTCTCTATCTTTGCTTAGCTTACTCTGGACATCTAAAAACCTTTGTAGTGTTGTCGAAGCCATAGTTTAGAGGCAGAAGAACCTTCTCTTTCCCTTCCATAAGTTCAGTGTCTGGATCTGAGGAATAAACCCCAATAAACAGACTGATAGGAAGGAAGGTGACAAGTTTATTACCTGCACAGAGGCATCACGAGACAAGGAGTCCTTAATAACCCAGTGAGGTCCAGAAGCTTCCGAGCCCTCTAGAGTCATAGGAAAGAATGAAGAGAGAGTTGCAGGTAATTTTAGAGGCAGAGTAAATGATGGGTTTTTTTTTTTTAAAGATTATTTATTTGAAAGGCAGAGCTGCAGAGAAGCGGAGGCACAGAGAGAGAGAGAGAGAGAGGGAGAGCACTCTCCCATCCACTGGTTCACTCCCCAGATGGCCATAATAGCCAGAACTGAACCAATCCGAAGCCAGGAGCCAGGAGCTTCTTCCGGGTCTCTCACGTGGGTGCAGGGGCCTAAGGACTTGGGCCATCCTCCGTTGCCTTCCCAGGCCATAGCAGAGAGCGGGATCGGAAGTGGAGCAGCCGGGACTCCAACCAGTGCCCGTACGGGATGCCGGCACTACAGGTGGTGGCTTTACCCACCACACCAAAGCCCCGACCCCGAGTAAATGACTTTTAGGAGTGAGAACTCCTAAAGAACATGCAAGTTGGTCTGGGCCCCAGGGGTGGTGTCCCCTCTAGTTGAGGGGCAACTGGGGAAGGGGTTTACAAGTGCGGATCTGCTAGAGAATCCAGCCTAGAGAGGAGAACTTCAGAGAAAGCCGGCCCCTGCCTTCGCTGCTCCCCACCAGCTCTCGGTTTGAAGTCCAAAGGAGCAGATCTGGGGGCATTTTCTGAGCCCTGATGGTAGCATTGCTGGACAGAAGCGTCAGACAGTTCATGAGCAGTCATCTCTGTGCAGTTTGGCTGCAGCTAAGAGGTACGAAGTGTTTTCCGTGTCCTCATAGCCCACTGGGTACGGCAGCTGACCCCAGCTGTGTGGGGGCTGTTCCCCACAAAGCAGCAGCCCCGTGTCCTCTAAATCCTGACACTGCCTCTGGAGGTAGTGTCACATCCCACAGTGGGAGGGCTCAGCCCCCGAGACTGTTCCCCCACAAGTGCTGTGGCCAAGAGCAGCTTGTCACCCACCCTTCGGAGCCGCCGGCTTTAACAGGGTCCCCACCAGCCCCTTCCCAAGCTTCGTTAATTTGTGGGAACAACTCACAGAACTCCGGGGAACACTTGCCGCCTACCAATTTATTGATAAACAGATAAGCAGCCAGATGGGAGAGGCGCAGGGCAGGGCACGTGGGAAGGGGCACGCAGCTTCCACGCCCTCCCGGCTGCCACTCTCCCAGCGCCTCCTTTGGCTTAGTAGTCAGGAAGCTTTTCAAACCCAGACTCTTCGGGTGTTTTTGGAGGCTTTATTACATAGGCATGATTGATTGCATCATTGGCCATTGGTGTTCGGCTTAACCCTCAGCCCCTCCCCGGAGGCTGGGGGGTGGGGCTGGAAATCCCAGCCTAATCAGGCCGTGGTTTTTCTGCTGACCAGCCCCGTGGTGGAGCTCTCCAGGGGCCCCAGCAGCCACTCGTCTTATTAGCATAGAAAAGACATCACTCCAGAGATTACTAGGATTTCAGGAGCTGACTGTCAGGTAACGGGATGAAAGGCTAGTATAGTTTTAACAGTATCACTGAAAGATGTTCGTGTTTTTCAATGTCTTGATTTTTGTCCCAGTTGTTGATAGAATGTGATGTCACTTGATTGATTTTTTAAAGCAGTGTGCATGTGTCCACGTGTCTACGTGAGTGTGTGTGTGTGTGTGTGTGTGTGTTTAATCATTCAGATGAGTCTAGTTTTGCAGCAGAAGTATTTTTCTCCTCTTTGGTTTTTTGCTTTACACTAAGAAAGAAGGTAATTTTTTAGATATAAAAGGCACATGGTGGTTGCTGGGAGAATCTCAGACAATACCCCGATGCAGGCATCTACAGTAGCGCCTTGCAGATGTGTTCCCGCATGTTTTTGCGTTATGTTCGCTGATGTGCGGTTACTCCTGATTTGATTCACCAGAATGGAATTATGTTTTCTTTTCATTCTGCACGTTGATTTAAAAACTTTTTTTATTACATCTTTTATTGCTTAATCATTTCTGGACATTTCCCGTGTCTCTCCATGGAGACTTGATATATAATTACTTATTGCTGTATTTGGGTGTATGGTGATTGATTGAGCCGGTCACCTGTTGCTACATCCAGGACTCTTATGAAAAAGGAACTTGGGTTTGCTCTGGGCGGTTATCTAGATCCATCATCTCTGTGTCTGGCCGACTGGAGCCTGCTGCCTGGGAGTGTGGCCGCCCGGCCAATGTCCAGCTTGTTAACCAGCTGACGTGGCGGTCGGAGCAGATGAGGGAAGGAGCGAGCACTGAGGGCCGCTCTCCTTTGTTGCCAGACTGCTGCTTCTCGTGCACGCCACGTTAGGAAAGAGCTGCTTTGACTTGTTCCTTGGAAGGTCCGTGACCCGCAGGCTGTAGGCAGGCTGTAGGCAGGCTGTGAGCAGGCTATAGGCAGGCTGTGAACAGGCTGTAGGCAGGCTATGAGCAGGCTGTGGGCAGGCTGTGGGCAGGCTGTGGGCAGGCTGTGGGCAGGCTGTGGGCAGGCTGTGAGCAGGCTGTGGGCAGGCTGTAGGCAGGCTGTGAGCAGGCTGTGGGCAGGCTGTAGGCAGGCTGTGGGCAGGCTGTGGGCAGGCTGTGGGCAGGCTGTAGGCAGGCTGTGGGCAGGCTGTGGGCAGGCTGTGAGCAGGCTGTAGGCAGGCTGTGGGCAGGCTGTAGGCAGGCTGTGGGCAGGCTGTGAACAGGCTGTGGGCAGGCTGTGAGCAGGCTGTAGGCAGGCTGTGGGCAGGCTGTGAGCAGGCTGTGGGCAGGCTGTAGGCAGGCTGTGAGCAGGCTGTGGGCAGGCTGTAGGCAGGCTGTGAGCAGGCTGTGAGCAGGCTGTAGGCAGGCTGTGAGCAGGCTGTAGGCAGGCTGTAGGCAGGCTGTGAGCAGGCTGTGAGCAGGCTGTAGGCAGGCTGTAGGCAGGCTGTGAGCAGGCTGTAGGCAGGCTGTGAGCAGGCTGTAGGCAGGCTGTGAGCTCTGTGCTGCGTGGTGTAAGGAACACTGTTGCAGATGCACAGGTGTTAAGAGCGGGGCTCAATCTGTGCTGCTTCCTGACATAAAGCACAAGTTGCTCTTTTTTTTATGTTTATCTTTTTTTTTTAAGGTTTACTTATTTGAAAGGTAGAGTTCAGAGAGAGAGAGACACACACACAGAGACAGAGTCTTCTGTCCACTGATTCACTCCCCAAATGGCTGAAACAACCAGGGCTGGGTCAGGCCAAAGCCAGGAGCCTAGAGCTCCATCTGGGTCTCCTGTGTGGGTGCAGGGGCCCCAGCACTTGGGCCGTCCTCTGCTGCCTTTCCGGGCGCATTTGCAGGGAGCTGGATCGGAAGGAGAGCAGCCAGGACTCCAGCTGGTTCCCATGTGGGCTGCCGGCCTTGCAGGCGGCTGCTTAACCAGGTGCGCCACAGCACCGGCTCCCACACATTGATTTTTAAGATGCATTTTCATATTGTTTTGTCTTGTGAGGAGCCTCATTTTCATAGAAGCTAACTGCAAAAGAATAATTGATTTTCCAAATTGGTTCTGGTTCACTGAAGCTTTTGTTAGCATTTAAGGGAGTAAGTTGGGTAAGGCTGGTCGTAATTGAAGGTCTTCATCCTGCAGGACTGGGAGTTTAAAAGTGTGTAATTTGGAGACTTTCCCTAATGTCTGAGGTGTTAGCCCACAGCAGTGCTGGGGAACTTTAATGTGCTTGCCAGTGGAGGGGTGGGGGCGGCTGGGAGCTGCACCGGGTGCTGCCGGTGGCACTGCCTGCCCCGTTTCGGTGGCTCTTGCTCCCTGACCTGGCTTCCTCCCGCTCCTCCTCCAGAGTCTGGATTACGACCGCTGTATCAACGACCCCTACCTGGAAGTTCTGGAGACCATGGATCACAAGGTGAGCCCGCTGCTCTTGACCTCTTAGCACCAAATACAGCTCACGACAGCTTTTTTCTTTTTGGGTCCTTCAGTGACTGTCCTTACCCCTTGGTCTTCGAGCTTTTTCATGAGATACTGACATTTAATTCCCAGTCCCTCATCCTAGTAGCCAGAATACCCACTGTCAGTGTGTCTGGCCCCGCCCGCTAGAATCCCCGTGCTGGTGTCGCGAGGCGCCTGAGACGCTGGCAGTGTCTTCACCGTGCTTGCTGTCGGCGTGGAAGTTAGTCTGAAGCTGGTTGGTCACGAACTGTGCCTTCCCTGCTGCCACGTGAACTGATCCAAACTAAACCTTAATTTTCCGTGTGAACAGAAAGGCCGATGGTACGAGGTGGTGAAGTGGACGGTGGTGTTTGCCATAGGAGTCTGCACCGGCCTGGTGAGCAGTGGGGCGGAGCCGATGGTGGGCCAGAGGGGTGGGGGTGTCCAAGGGAAGCTCTGGCCTGGAGAATGACATTTGTCATTGGTCACCAGGACATTTATATGTTGCACTGTAACGTTGGTCGTTATAACCAAGACTGCCTGTTTTCTTTCTCTTTGTTTCTCTCTTTTTAATTAATCCTGGTACCATTTTGCATAATTTTGCTCTCTGAAACGAAAGTGAATCATGTACCGGCCTTGCTTTCAAAACATTCAAAGGTTTTATCAACACTTAACATTTTATGATGTTTGTGGCCGGCGCCGCGGCTCACTCTCACTAGGCTAATCCTCCGCCTAGCGGCGCCGGCACACCGGGTTCTAGTCCCGGTCGGGCGCCGGATTCTGTCCCGGTTGCCCCTCTTCCAGGCCAGCTCTCTGCTGTGGCCAGGGAGTGCAGTGGAGGATGGCCCAGGTGCTTGGGCCCTGCACCCCATGGGAGACCAGGAAAAGCACCTGGCTCCTGGCTCCTGCCATCGGATCAGCGCGTTGCGCCGTCCGCAGCGCGCAGGCCCGCGCTGCCCATTGGAGGGTG